CCGGAGGACCACTGGATATGAACAGCAGCCATCTCGCCCTGCCCCTCGCACCTCTGGATTCCAGTTAGTGGTAATGGAGAGATTTAGATTGTGCGTGGCCGGCCAGCGGGAGTGTAGGGTCACCACCCGAGAGGGGTGGGGGCGCCCTGGCTGGGGTCTGTTTGCTTCCCTAGATGCCGTGCTGGTGCAGGGCATTTGGGGCAGTGGGACTGGGGTTGGCACAGCCACTAAGCACAGCTTGGTGAAGGCCCCACCTTGGCCTTGGCCATCAGGCGCCCACGCCCACTCGGGTCTGGGGGGTCCCGAAAAGTGCCATCTCAATGTTCCACTCCCTCCAAGTGAAGACATGGAGACATCTCCATTCGTTCTCCAAATGGTGGGAACAGGCTCCGAGTTACTCCTCAGGCCTACCTATCTGCAGCCGTCTCCCAAGCTACTGTTCTCACAGACGGAAGTGTGACTCAGTTTCTCTTTCCACCCAGCCGCCTGATAGGATGTCAAGCAAGTCCCTGGGCAGGGCCACCCTAAGTAACCCTGTGCACACAGAAGCCCAGGAAGGATCTGGGCCACTTGGATGCTGGCGTGAAGGGAGGAAGCCCTTGTGCAGCAGGTGTTGGAGAGGGAGGTAACAGTCCCCTCACCAGGAGCCAGCAGGGCTCAGTGTAGGGGGATGGGGAGGAGGCGCTTCCCTTTCTCCATTGGGCTTCTAGAAAAGATTGATTTTGCAAACAGCTCTCTGAGGCTGCTGCAGCCCTGCCGGGCAGGGTCCGGCCAGGAATGGGAGGACCCACCTAAATGCTCTTGAGGGCAGTGGCCCAGCCCCTCTGCCTCCCACACCCTGCCGCTGATGCTGAAGCCACCAGTGACGCAACTTTGGATTTCTACGAAGCGCCAGGCTGTGTTCTGCAAAAGGGGCCATGTTAGACACCAGCCGAATTCCTAAGGGACAGTTGCTCTGTAATTCCTGCTGATAGAGTACTGGCCCCAGCCTGAGCCCCAGGAAGCCCAAATGTCTGAGGCTGCCAAGATATCGGTGGGTTCTCTCTCTTCTCTGGTAACCTGTGCCACTAAATGGTCTGGCTGCAGTGGGCAAAAGGTTTGCAGCATCGCACCCTCTGTACATCATCGAACGACTGCCTCGTGCCAACCAGGGCTTTGCACACACTGTTTCCCCCTGCAGCCTCGTATGGCATAGTGCTGGTGATGCAGAAAATGTCGGGTGCCGGGATGCAGCCGCTTGCCTCCTCCCCATAGCTCCGCATCTCTGCGGGCCAGCGCTGTGCGTGGCCAGTTGGAGGGCCGGCCAGGGCCAGAGAGCTGCCGGGGCACCTGCGGAATGCCTCCAGGCCCACGTGCCTGCTGCCTATTTCTGGCCACGCTGCTTGCATGATCGTGATTGGGTAATTTTTGAATCCCACTGTTTTTGATTGGATGTTAAACCTTGTTGTTGATTGGATGTTAAAGCTTGTAGTTGATTGGAGGTTATAGCTTGTAGTTGATTGGATGCTTTTTGAGCCCTACCAAGGGTATAAAAGCAGGAGGAGAACAAGGAAGGGGGGCAGAGGGTCAGAAGATCAGAATATGGGAAGAGAGCTGTAACACTAGGTGTGCTGAGCCTGCTGTGGAAGAATAAAGGCTGTTCTCCGACTCTTCATGTGCTGCTTGGTTCTTTTCCTTGTCAAGAGCTGTAACACTAGCTGTACACATTGCTGCAACAGTGGCACCTCCACACCATCCCAGAGATGGGGACCCAGCCATGGCACAGAGAGGGTACAGCACTTGTTCAAGCCAACAGCTGTCAGTGGCAGGGCAGGAGGGGAAGGCCAAGAGACATCAGGGCCCGCGTGCCTTACCCTGGGTGATGCTCCCTCCCTGTTACTGTGCTTGCAGTGCCAGCAACCCTCTGGTCACCTCAGCTTCCAACATATATGGCCATGGGGAGTCGGGGACAGGTAGGCAAACGGGCATCCTTTTTTTTTTTCACTTGGAAGAGTCAAGCTTTGGGTCAGAGACTGAGAATTAGTACCTGTTCCTGCATGGAGGGAACAGGATCCAGAGGAGTTCAAGTCAAAGTCAAGCTCACCTTTTTCCATTTACCAGGGATGGGAGGATGAAGAAGAGCTTAACTGCTGAGAATCTCATCTGTAAAATGAAGACAGCAGGCACCTCTCCCAGCTGCTGGGGAGGATTTGATGCAATTGCGCATGTGGTTACTCATCCTCTTTTTTCTAAGTCCCTTCCTAACAGAGGAGATGATCTGGGTCTTATTTCACCTCCATTATTCAATAATAATTGCATATAGGTGGAGTGCGGACAGCCAAATCTGGGTGCAAAGCCTCTGCCATACCTAGGTCTGTGGTCTCAGCCACATCCCTTACGTTTTGTAAGCCTGCTCTTTTGCTTATAGCATGTCCAATCCATCTCAAAGATTTTTTTTAAGAACCAAAATTAAAAAAAAATAATAATCATTTGATTAATTTTTAAATCAATATAAGATTCAGAAACTTTTAATATTTTCAGTGCAACAGAATAATTTCTTATCTTCTTGAGTAGCTTCCAAGATTAAATCAACTTTTGGCAGAGCTACTTTGTGGTCCCTGTATATCTACAAAAAATGGCACTGTTGTGTAGAATACCTGGGTCCAGCATTTTCCATGTACTATGCTGTTTGCTGGAGATTCCAGAAATATCTTTGTATGAAGACTTGACTAGAAGCAGATTAATAGAGTCAACACCTTTAATGATTTGCAGGTGGAGATACAACACAGAAGTGCTAGCATGGAGCAGAAACTTGAGACTTCTTCCACGCGCTGCCCTGCCTCTTCCCTGCTGCCACCCCCCACCCCGTCCCCCGTTCAGCCTTTGGATGCTTTACTAGGTCCTAGACCTGCTGCGGCAAAGTGCTACAGACCAGGTGATAAGGTCACATTCTGAGGTCCTGGGGGTTAGGACTCGCAACACACCTTTTTTCTGGGGGGAGTGGCGAGGGGGAAAGGGAGAGACACAGTTCACCCCACAACAGATTCCCATTGCATCGTGATTGACGCTTCCTGGTGAATTATTATTCTCCCCTCCCGTGGAATGCAGACTCATTGGGGAATCAGAGCCCCTCGATATAAGTCACTATTTGTATTCTATTGAGCCTTTTATGCTCAGCACACACTGAATAAATATTTGAATGAACAAGTAGTAAAGATATGCATTTATGAAACGGATGTAGACCCTGCAAACAACGACAGGTCTGGAATGTGCGACATGAGGCTAAGAAATGACTTTGGCTGCCAAGGCAGCTGGACGTGAACCTGTGCAAAGACTCTATTCAACAACTAGAAAGAAAGATTTTTCCCATTAGGACCTCAGATGTGATCATTGGCAAACACCCCTGTTAGCTCTTTGTGATTCCTGATTTTAACAATGGAATGGCCTTCTCAGGAAGGAAGCTCTGAGGGTGAGGGTGCAGGAGGAGGGAGTGGGGCACCTGTTTCAACGTCCTGTCCTGGACGGGCTCTGACACCAACCAAGTCTCGTAGTTCCCAAAGGCATTCTTTAGTTGCTTGCATTTTTCCATATTTAGAAACCACTATTGAAAAAATACTAGTTATGCTTAACCTTCATCCTTGTACTGTCTTATTTTTCTTTGCCTCCATATGGGCATAAGATTCCTTGGTTGGCGGTTTGTTGTTCAGTCGTTCTTTGCCTTTATGGAGCTAACAAATCCTGTTCTAGCCATTGCAGGATGAATGCTAAAATGGTGTTCAGATGGTAAAGTTGGACTTAATAATTCAGTGAGATTTAATAACAGACAATTTATGTCAATTTCCAGATAATACAAGTCAGTTCCAATATGTCCCTTAAGAAACACTTCCAGAACTCCATGGCATCCCATCTCAGCAACATTTCCCACAGCTCTGCTGGACCGTGGGGGGATACTGCCTTCCTTAACCTTAGCTTGTGTTCGTTTCTCTTCCTGCAGCTTGCTTTTCAATCTCAGCAGTGTGAACAGAAAGCTCAGTAGATGGCCGGTTCATTATTAGAAACGAGCTATGCTGGCCTGTTAATCTCTATTAATCCCTGTTTCTCTATTAATCCCCAAGGATGAGCATTCTGTGCTGTGGAACCAGTGGGGTATTTCCATGCAAGGCGAACACTCACAGCAAATCCATGGTGCTGAGTATAGGAACAGAAAGCCTGTGATGCTTTTGCCTGCAAATCCACATTTCTGATCTAATCCTCGGGCACATCCATTACAGGTAGCCTGAAGCAGCCCTGACAGCCTTTGTCTGGTGGGGCAAGATCTGATGCATGCACAATGCAATGTATTTACTTTTTAAAAGTAAGATGTTTTCTTTGGGCCAAATGCCATAACAATATAGTTCATTTTCTATTATTTGCATTCAAATAATTACCTTGATCTTGGAGGAAAGAAACAGGGCACATAATCTTTATCGCTTTGTTTGTTATTGTCTTTGTACAGAGGTCTGTTTTGAGCCTTACTTTGGCTCTAAGTTCCTTGTGAAAAGGAACCTCCCTGGGCCCTGGCTTGGGCTGTTCAAGCTAGCAATGAGTGAGGAGTGGGGGGAACACAGCGGGCTGGGGCCCTGGGAAATCCCTCAGTTACGTCTTCTCGCTGTGCATGCTGTGAGCTTGGAACTCACATGCACACGAACAGACATCCAAAGACCAGTGTCTGCCACCTACTGTCAACAGAAAAGTTACAACGCAGAACACATGTTTTCTTTTTAAAAAATATATGAGCATTATGTTAGTGGACGTAAAGGCAAATCTAGAAGAATACAAATCAGATTATTAAAGTACTTGTATTTGGGAAGGAGGGTTGTCTATGATTTTCAATTCCTAAATTATATATCCTTGTAATGTTGGCATTTTTCACACAGATCAGGTGTTAGTATTTTTAAACCGCCTTCTTGAGGTATTATATATATATATACACACACACACACATATATCTGCACGCACACACACCATAAAATACACTCACGTAAGTCAACAACTTGATACATTTTAATACCTTCTTAGAGCCGTGCAACATCACCACAGTCCAATTTTAAGACATTTCCATCACCCCACAAAAGGTCCTTCATCTCCTACCCCATCCCCCGCCGCTACCGATCTACTTTCTGAGTCAATTTGACTGGTTCTGGAAGTTTGGTATAATAGAATCCGACAACATATGGCCTTTCGTATCCAGCTTCTTTCACTTCACAGTTTCTGAGGTCTCTCCATGTTGTTGCGTGACACCCGTTGCTTTCGTTGCTGGGTAGCGTGGACGGTTTATGGAGGTCCTGCACGTTGCCCGTTTCCCAAGTCATGGTCGTGTGGCTGCTCACAGGTAGGGCTGTCATGAATACTGCCCTCTGCCCCTGTGCACAAGCCTCTGTGTGGACACGAACAGCCCATTTGTAATCAGAAAAACAACAGAACCGAACGACCACAGTGAATTCTCAGACTGTTTCGGGAACACATCTGCCCTTTACCACAATGGGAATCTAAGAGTGGGGCAGAAAGTTTAAAATGGGAGAGAATGACATGGGTGCTCACTAAGCTGTCCCTCCCTCGGTCCTGGGGAAAATGCAGGGGGACAGATAGGGCCGCTCGGTCCACGCTGGAAGGCCCGTGTTTGTGCCCTGTGTCCAAGGCTTCAGAGCGCAGTTGACAGCCCATCCTCCCGCTGCGGCCTGATCACAGCCTCGACCCAACATCTGTCTCCCTTTACAACTCCGTTGGTTCAAAAGCAGCAAGTTAAGGAGACCCCACTTCCCTGAGCCTGCTGTGTTTAGTGGAAGCCCGGGTTAGACTTGGGGGCTGTGGAGAAGACCGAGAAGCGCCAGCGCAACTTCACGGCTGAGTCCCTAAGACGGAGCAATCCACGAGCTTAGGCGAGGGCTTTCCTCGGTATGCCAAGGCCAAGGGTTGCAGCCACAGAAGGGAAAGGACCAGAAAAACCACCTAAGAAAGGATCTAGTCCTGTGGGTAGGAAAGAGACGCAGGAAACAATTCAGAGGAAAAGAAGCAAAAAGTAAAGTGGCATCGCAAGACGGAGTCTTATTCACCAAAAGAGGCAAGAAGCAGACTGCCAGCACACCCTTCAGGACAACGTTTAATACAAGTAGATACACATAATTTTAAAGCACTTTGGAACAATCAGGTGGTAGTGAATATTAATGATGACACCTGTCTTATTTGTTAATTACAGCAGACTCTCCACTGGAAGTCCCTGTAGCAACTCGCGCTTCTGCGTCCCTAAGCGTCCACGTGACTTCTCTACCCTGCTGCAGGCGGCTGCAGCCTCACCTCTCTCACCCGACACTCCGCAGGCCGCCACCCCGACCCTAGGCGCCTTTCTCCGCTCTTCTCTGCGTCTGCCTATGGGGCGTGGGCTCTGAACCTCTTTCCTTTTCCTTCTACTTGTTTTGGTTTAACCTACGATTTCTCGGTGTGTGATGACATTCCTGAGCTCGGACTCTCCTGCTTTCCCACCTCAGTGACCAACACGATGGTATGAATACCACCGGCAGGAATCAGCGTTTGGCAAGTTGCGAGAGCTTCCACATCATCCTTGCTCAGAATCCTGTGATGTAGGCAGGATGCTAGTATTGTCTCCTTTTTAAGGAAACTGAGGCAGAAAAGCTCAGTGACTGCCATTGTGTGATTGTGATCACACAATCACAAAGCAGTGTGACCAGCAGTCACAGGCTCTCCTGGGTGAGGTGCCGGGGTTGGAAGTGTTGGAGGCATGCCACCAGGGAGCGGAGAAGTAGGAGCAACGCGTGGTGGGTCTGGAGAATCTATTCAAAGACATGAGCTTGGTTTTTTAAGAACATATTAGCTTGTGAGGAGTTTTCTAACTCATTTGTAAGTTTCCTAGATATTTCATACATTTAACTTTTTAAAAGGCACTGAGATCCTGAAATTGAAATGTAGATACAGTTGTGGGGTAAAAAACTTCTGCTGAATGATGAGTTTGCAAAAATATGTCTTCAGTATAGTACTGAGAACTTTTAATTTTATGGGGCCAACATCAATATAATCTTATGACCTTGTATCAAATCTTGCCCTAAACTAAATTCAAAGTTACAGCAAAGTTACTTGATACTCGATGGAAAAATATTGGTACTAGATTAACATTTACAAAAAATAATTTTTTTTCAGTAAGGAACATGCTTGAAATTCAATGTGAATCAATTAATTGTTGCATTTATTCTGACGCTTTTTATTAATATTTTGGAGTCCTATAATCACAAAATGACATGTGTAATGCTTACAACAGTTATTAGAAATTGAGATGTTTTTTATTTTTTACTATTTGAGAGTAAAATTGTAGATAATGTTCCAAACCATCATCAAAAATGCAGAGCAAACTTTTCTGTATATAAACTGTACATAAAAACAAGGCACTATACATTTTTGGGGGCGATATTAAGGTAGAAAGGTTGATTTGCATGGATTCTGTAGCATCCATGCCATTAAGTACAAATTCTTTGTTCATTTTAGCACCGGAAGCAGTACTCGGAACAAGTCATACCTAACGCTGACGGGAGCATTCCCGAACGTGGATGAAGGTGCATGTTGGTGGCGGAGCTAATTCGACAGAAGCAACTCCATCTACCTCTTAATACTATTTTGACACCAAAAAAAAAAAAAATCTTAGAAGTGAATGAATACATATTGCTTTGTTAAATACATATTTGACTTATATGGTATTTATATAAATATATATATATTTTAGAATCCACAAACTATCAGAACAACACTTTATAAAGAGAACTGCTTCAAAAAGAAAAAGAAAACAAGGCCGCGCCGAGGGGGTCAGGAGGCGGTGCCGGCAGTGCTGCAGTCGCTGTGGGGTGTGGTGACAGCGCGTTTATCCACGTCGCCTGCCGGTCGCGGACGGCTGCCTAACAGTTCTTGCCACACTTGCAAAACGCACGACTCCAGGACAAGCAGTGTGGTTAACAAGGTTGGGCTCTGAAAACTCTGATTTAAAAATACTTCTAAAAAAAATACCAGTCCCCAAATACACAGGCATCTCCCGGCCGGCGGCGGGGAGGCCCGGGCGCTCAGAACAGGCCCGCGGCCTTCTTCAGGTTCGCCTGCTTCCAGCCGGGCAGCGCGCCGAACTCGTCCCGCGTCATGTCCAGCGCGCACTGCAGGCCGGGAGAGACGCGGGCAGATCAGGAGGAGGGCTCTGCAACCAAGCGTGCTGATTCCCTGCCATCCCCCCGGAGAAGCACTCACCTCGAAGTCGTCGTCGGTGAGATATATCTCGAGCTTGAGGGGATCGACCCCTTCCGGGAGTGGCCTGGCTAGGAGGTCCGCTAGCGGGTAGGTGGTTTTGCAGAGCTTGGCTAGGACGTCTTCCACGAGGGTGATCTGATTCGAAACTTCTGTATCCTGGAGGACAGGAGGGGCGGAGAGGAGAACTGGGAACCCTGCATTTGAACACCGTCCTCAGGTGCCTGCAAGCCCCCGCCTGTGGCATGTGCGCGGCTGGAGAGACGGGCTCACAGCCCCTGAAGGACACAGGGACTGCCCACGCCTCGCCCTGCCACAGAGCTTCAAATGAACCCTGTCTCAGGGCTGCCTCCCTTGGAAAAGACATTTAGGGACCTTCCAATGAGTGAATTATGGACTAAAGATTAGTGGATTTGAAGTCTAAACAACGGAAGTCTCTAAATAACAGAATTTGTTAAAAAATATCTAAAATTAATCAATATAAGAGAAATCACACCCTTTCCCCCAGCCCCATTTCTTAATCCACAATAGACAAAGAAGGTAAGAAAATGCATCTAGACTATTCCGGGATAGAATCAAGCTTCCCCTCCTCCCCAGCCGCTGTGTGCATGTAGTCTGAGCAGGCTACAGTGGGTAACCGGGGGTGCCGGGCTGGCGGCCCTCCATTTGAGTGGGTGGTGAAGGAACGAATGACTAAGATGTTGCTGCCCAAGTTGGCCATATAGGGACAGACCAGGGTGAAAGAGGCGGGTTTTTAGAGTGAACCTGTCGACCCCTAGTACTGTCTCACTCTACTCACGACTCTGAGACTCTGGGCAAGTGACTTCAAGGTTTTGTGCGTCTGCTCCCACACCAGAAAAACGGGGATGATAATGAGTAGATCCCGATGGACTACGGTGATAATTAAACAAGAAAAATGTAACGTGCTTGGAGCTGCGCCTACTGCAGAGTGAGCACTCAGCGAATGCGAGTTGTTCATCTAACTTGCTGGTGTGGGAAACCTGACTCTTTGCTGGCTGAAACCCCCCTGTGAGGCCTGCACAGCAATAAACGGGCCAGTGCTGGCCCATGACCTGCAGTGGGTACAGAAAAATGATTGCGACTTTATGTCCTTGAACTTAGACTGCACGCGGCAGCCCCAGCCCTTGTAATCCCTAGAGCTTTTAAGCTCATGATCCCGTATTTATCACGAACAGAACCATCTCACTCTGTCAGAGATTAGGCTGCACTTAGCCCTTTCCCCGTGTGGATCAGATCCATTCGGCTAAATGGAGATAGTTTAGGGGGAGCAGCAATATTTGCACTTTCGGACAGGCTCTCTCCATTGCTCTGCTGCAGTGAACTCTGTCTGTTTAACATTACTCAGATATCCCATAAAATATGCTCCGGTCACTTCCCCCAGAAAAGCAGCTAACAAAATCAAAATGTAAAAAACCTCTTTCCAGGCCGGGCGCGGTGGCTCACGCCTGTAATCCTAGCACTCTGGGAGGCCGAGGCGGGCGGATTGCTCAAGGTCAGGAGTTCGAAACCACCCTGAGCAAGAGCGAGACCCCGTCTCTACTATAAAATAGAAACAAATTAATTGGCCAACTAATATATATAGAAAAAATTAGCCGGGCATGGTGGCGCATGCCTGCAGTCCCAGCTACTTGGGAGGCTGAGGCAGGAGGATCGCTTGAGCCCAGGAGTTTGAGGTTGCTGTGAGCTAGGCTGATGCCATGGCACTCACTCTAGCCTGGGCAACAAAGTGAGACTCTGTCTCAAAAAAAAAAAAAAAAAAAAAAAAAACCTCTTTCCTACCAAACCAAAAAAACCCTTGGACAAGCTATTGGCAGCAATGTTAATAACTCATAAATTAACAAATTTGACATAGCTGTAGTAAGCTTCTTTTCTGTGTGGTTGGACAATAAAACATTCTGGATGACAATATATTTCGGTAGATAGAAGTTATGATAAATGCCCCGTGGAAATACCAGGTGATCTCATAAAAGACAGTATTAATGAGATGCTGACCAATACCGTACCATGAGTCACAACACATCCATTCGTTTAGTTATTTGAACATATATATCCATCACAGATTTATATGGTGGCGTCTGAAACATCAGGATTTGGTTGTGCATTATATGGACGTTGAGAAATAACAAGCACTAGGTTTGTAGCTAAGAGAATGAGGAGTTCGCAGCTTTTATGTATATACAGTCTTTAAAGTAATGAAATTCACCTTTGCTTTTATGTTTTTATTAATAAAATTTGAGCCCCATGTAGAAAATTACTGAAATGTTACAATTGATTCCCCATCAAGCTTCTCTTCTTCCTAAGCTAATTCTATTAGACTAGTTTACACGTTACAAAAGAAAACATATCTTCCCACTTTGAAAGAGCAGTTGGGTGCTTCTCCCCAAGGTCAAAGTGAACCCACAATCCAAAAGGCAGAGGCGCTTCCTTCACACCCCGGCAACACGCTCACCATTTCTGTGATCTCAGCGATGTCCTCTCTGTGCTCCCAGCTGGGAAACATATTGGTGAACGTCAGGGGCTCCAGACCAGCGTGGATAAGGTAAGACTTGGGGGGCGGCTTCTTGAGATTCTTCCCTGTAGTCACACAGAACGCGAGTGTTAGCAGAGACCCAAGGACCTCGTCGTACTCTTGACTTCATGATTAAAAGACAAGTTATGTATGGGTAGTTCATAACAACACATGGATAATGTTTCTATAAAATGGCAATTTTATGTCTATGACTATCAGAGGGGCATATAGCCAGACTGACTCTGCACTTCCGCCCCTAACAAGACACTTCTGGATCCCTGGAAGGGAGAAAGCCTCTCTCTGTAGCTTCTGGGCGGGACATTTTCTCCCTCTTGCCTTCACCTGCAGAAGCATTGCTCCGGCTTCCAAATGTGGGATTAACTTCCACGTGATGAGACAGCTAATGGCAGCATTTTATATGTCTACTTTAGCTATAACATTTGGTGGGAAGTTTAATAACTTATTTATTAGTAAAGAGCTTTTCAAGAAGAGAGTTTATGGAACATACTCAGTGATATAAAACCTAATAATATAATGAAACAATAAAGATTCGATGAGAAACTAATTATTGGCCTCTTTATTTTATATAAAAGACCACAAACTTCAGGTGGACAATATAGTAAGAAACCATAAACGTACTACAGGGAAGTTTCTTTTTGGATATAATCCTAACAACAATAATGAAAAATAAAAAGTTTGGCTTTGGCCATTCGGCCGGCTGCGGGCCGACGTCTGTCCCCAGCCGCACGGCCCTGCTTGCAGACGGCAGGCATGGGCGGCAGGTCTGTCTCGCAGCAGGATTAATCCCGCATGCACGGGGTCTAGTCTGTCCAGCGTATCCACAATGCGGCCCTTAACCTTGAGGGTAGTAAGTTCAATGGCCTCACAATACAAGAGGCAAAAACTAGTTCTCCTTCATGCCGGCAATGGAGAACGCACTAGTTTAAAAATTAATAAGCCTCAAAAAGTTACAGGGGAAGAAACTGGTTTCATTGCCACCTGCCAGGCTTTATGATCGCTGGCTGACACTCGCAGGGAGGGTAGAGGGGCCTGGGGGTCCCGAGGGCTGCTGGCTGGGTGCCGGGGGGCCCCGGCCTCGGGAGGGCCTCACCTCTGCAGTACTGCAGCACCGTCTCCATGGCGTTCTTCCGGTCGGAGGCCCAGCGAATGCGGGCGGAACCGGTGATCTTGTTCTCGATGGGCCACCAGCCTTGCCAGAGGTACACCTCGTGGTGATTGTCAACAAGGAAAAGCGCTGTGACAGACCAGACAATCAGGAGCTCCTCTATGGACACTTTAGCTCACTCCTGCCCAAACCTAACCGATGCCTTCTCCCCTGTGCCAGGTCAGAGGGTACAATCCCTTTGGCAGTGCAATTCCGGGCAAAGGGGCAAATGGAGGGTCCCCAGGACACCCTGCCCCTTCAAAGTTCAACAGGGAGAGGCCTCTAGGCAGAGACAGGTGGCCTCAAGATGTGGAGTCTTCCCTTCCTTCTTTTCCAGGTGCTCCTCTTTTCGCCCACCTCAACTGCAGGCCCGCTGAGCCCTCTGGCCACTGGGAGGGCTGCGCTGAGAGGGCCGACAGCACACTCGAGGGGCCGTTAGCGCCACTTAGCTCCGAAGAGCATGTGCACAGCTCACCGGCCCTGCAGGCCACTGGCGTTCTTGCCCTGCATCTGATCGCTCAGCAATGACGCGAGTCCACTGTTCCCTTACAGAGAAATTGGCTTTAAAAATCAGTTGTTTTGCCTCTTCCTCCTCACTTTTTCTCCTCCTCAAACCACAGGGCCTGACTCTTACTCCACACAGCAAAAGGGCTCTCAGTCCTGCTAGCTCGGCCCACCATGTGCCCTTTCCTGGCATAATTTCAGGACTCCTTGGAAACCACACATTTTAAAAGGCCAGTGGAGAGGCCAGGTGCAGTGGCTCATGCCTGTAATCCTAGCAATCTGGGAGGCCAAGATGGGAGGATTGCTTGAGCTCAGGAGTTCTAGACCAGCCTGAGCAAGAGCGAGATTCCATCTCTACTAAAAATAGAAAAAATTAGGTGGGTTGTGGTTCGCACCTATAGTCCCAGCTACTTGGGAGGCTGAGGCAGGAGGATCCCTTGAGTCCAGGAGTTTGAGGTTGCTGGTAGCGAGGTTGAGGCCACGGCACTCTAGCTCAGGCAACAGAGCAAGGCTCTGTCTCAAAACAAACAAAAAAAGCCCAGTGGAGGTTGACACCATCCTGTTGTGGGCAGCAGCCTCTTTGCGGGGACTATTACTAGAATTTCCCACAGTGTGACATGCACCAGTCCAGCTTTTAAATGGTGACCTGGGCTGCTGGTGTAACGTGAGGTCCCTGGCTGCAGCTCGGGGCTCTTGTAACATGAAAAAGAACAAACACGAGCTATGGGGCAGCTGACCTAGGACTTGATCGGAAGGAGGGCGGGGAAAGCCATCGGCCCAGCCTCCTGTGATGTCCCAAGCAGAGTCGGGGCATAAGGGTTTGTGTCTTGAGGCAGTGGCCTGGTGGAAGTGGCCCGGGCTTGGGATTAGAAAGCCTGGGTTCCATGGTAGAGCCTTGGTATGGCAGAGGCCGCACTTCGGCTAACTCAGCAGATACCCCAACCTCCTTCTCCTCAGCCGTTTGATATTCCAGGCTCCCTTGCAGCTGGGGGGTCATGTGACAAGCTCTGGCCAATGGGATTCTGGGAGTGTGCTTGGCAAATGGAAGCTGCTTGGTAAATGCTAACGTGAAATAACAAGCCTTCGTTGGAAGGGGCCTCCCGGCTGCTCCCTGCAGGCCTCACCTGGCTGGGGCGCACTGTACAGATCTTCCTGCAGGAAGGGCATGGAGCTGATGGCGGAGGGTGCGCGGGCAGGGTACGTGAACTCTGTGGCTAAGAAATCCCCAGAGGAGCTGCTGAGGATAAACAGGCGAGGTGCGAAGTTAAAACTTCCCGGATCTTTGGAAGAAAAGAGAACAAAGCTAAAGACACCGTGTGCACAGAGGTCAACTTCAGCTGGAGGGAAGAATTAATGTAAAACAAGAAATGATTCAAAGAATTGGTAGGGACATGGAATTTATCCGAGCTTGCAGGTGGGGAAGGCCTTTTTAATTGCAATATTAAAAGAAGTAATCAAAAGGGAAGAGACTTATGCATTAATTATATTAAAAGGAAAAATTATAGTGTAAAAAATTAAAAAGTAATAAAATGGGAAATATTTTTAATATAGCAACTAGTTAATATCCTTGATATATGAAGGAATATAAATAAGGAAAATATAAATATCTTAAAAATGTGCAAAAGGCACAGAGTATAACAGAAGTATAACAGAAATACAAATGGCTAAAAATGTTTATCTATATTAAAAAATATAAATACATATTCTATATAAAGTATGTCCCAGTACTTCTACTTGAAAAATTAAATTAAAACAATGCTTAGCTATCTGTCTCCCCTAATCAATTTGGCAGATAGGGAAAAGAGGATTTGCTGAGTTTATGATTATGCTGGGAAATGAGCCCTTTAGTGTACTGCACGTGAGAGTGACACTTGTTGAGACGTGCTGTGAGGTTTGTAGAACTTTAGCTCAGCAGTTCCATATCTAGTATTTCTCTCAGGAATAAATATATATAATCATTTTAAAAATTATTCAAACTGCATTATGTGATAGAGAAAAGTTGAACAGATACTACATTTGATCTTAGCCAAAAAGCCAAGATGCAATTAACAGAGAAAAATTGAACACAACACAGCTGTTCCACTACAGAAGATTGTTAGGTGAACGGTGACACATATTCCTAGAATATTTGTGGACCACCCTGCGGACATTAAAAGTCTAAATATTAACAACTTGGGAAATTATTCATAATAAAGGAAAAAAGCATGTTACAAAACAGTAGTTTCCAAACTTTATTTTTAAAAATAGGTACTCTTTATACAGCACTGGGGTATGTGCATTCGGTCACCTCTGAGAGACAGGATTGTAAGAGACTTATTTTCATTTTTAACTTGTTTGTAATTCCAAACATTTTCTATGATCAATAGGTATTATGTTTAAAAAGCTATATAAAAGTTGATAAAACTTGAAAGGCAGAGTATAATGGAGTGGTTATAAATATACTCCATTGCTGTCCAACCTTGGGCAAGTTGATTAACTTCTCTATGCCTCAGTTTCCTCATCTGTAAAATCAGTAGAGCATTGGGTTGTATTAATGGGGTTACTATATATAAGGTGCTGAAAGGGTGCTTGGCTTATCATAACTGCTTAATGCAATTTTGCTTTATTTCTCATGTTAATCTGTATTTTGAGAAAAGCCAGGGGAGCACATATTTACGCACCTGAGCTCACTCTGGGGAATGGGAATGTCTATTTCGTACCACAATGGCCATTTTCTTTCTACACAGGGCAATGATTTTGAAGAGCTCTGGGATAAGGGACTAGCTTCCTTCTCCAGCTCCCACCCAACACCCAGAACATGTCCCTTGACCACATTCTTTTTCTCTTGCCTGCCCGTTTGGCAGTCTCATGGTCATGTTGCTCAATGATCACCTTTCCAACCTGTCTCTGAGTTGCAGGCCCTAAGTTCACAGGGCTGCCAGCAATTTTGACGTGGCACTGCACCCCAGCACACTGCGCTCGCTTACTGACCGAACCTCTAAGTCTGCACTGGGGCAGTCACTGACCTCCAAGCCTTCCTCCCCCTGTGCCTCTGCGCCCTGGCCTCCCATGCAAGATCCACCTATCTGGTTCTGCCCAACCCTCTCCTCTGAACTGTGGCTACTTCCTTCCACTCTGGGTGCGACCAGACCCAGCAGCACCTTGCCACACAGGTTCACATTGTGGCATTGCACCTCTGGCTGCCTGGGGTTTTCTTCTCTTCCAGTCATACCAAGCTCCAAGGCACCGCGCAAATGCCATCCCTCCCAGGGAGCTGTGTGTGATCTTTCCTGTGGAAGTCACTTTTTTCTTTTTAATGCTCAAACCTCCTTCACCTATACCTCTTTCATGTCAAATAATTTTTATTTTGCCTTACGATTAGTCATGTATATTCTTTAGCCTTCTCAGTAGGTTTAATGTGTGTTGTACATAGCATGTGCTCAATAAATACTTATGGAATAAATGAGTCAACGTTTAAAAGGGTACCAAAGGCTACAGAACGCCGCATTACCTTGAAGCATGCAGTCGTAGGCCTTCCTGTCTCTCCTTCCTAAGGCGTCCCAGAACCCCAGAGGCTCGGAGCCTTCGTCACATTCGTGGACTGTCACTTTGCTGCTGCTGTGCAGTCCTGCTTCCAGGGGGCACCTGCACAGAGAAACGCCAATCATCTTTCATAAGCCCAGAGAGCCCGCAGCACGGACCATCCCACACCGAATCTACAGGACAGTTCACTGTCTCTCTTCTTCCACTTTCTAACTAACAACAATTCTTACCCAGGAATGAAAACATGCTCTGCAATTTCAGTGTGCGTGTGTTGGGGAAGGAGTGTTGGCTTGGCCCTTAGGGAGGAATGTACAATTAAATGTAATAGGTATTAATAATGAAAACAACACACAGCTTTATATATAATACATGTTGATGGTTCCTTTTCCTTATTTCCTGTTAGAACATAGGCTTATGGGGACAGAGACTTGGGTTTATTCATGACCAAACCCCTAGTCCCTAAATCTGTGTTTGGCTTGACGCAGGTGCTTGCTCAACATTTGTTGAATGAATAAGTGAATGAGTTGCTCATGATTTTGATTTTTGGACCTTGGTGGCCCAAGTTTGATGGGCCACAAACGCTTTTGAACACCTCACTGAATATCACCTACCATCACTCCCTGTTCCTAGCCTGCAGAGGACATTTTGAGATGGACATTTTGCTTCACATCTGTCTACCTGTTGAGAGAGCACCTGCCCCAGTCTCCTCTCCACCCGCCCTCTTCACGCAGAGCGAGGTTTCAGAGCAGTCACAAGCAGGCATGCCCATACTGCCCTGTTCTGGTGCCCGGAGAATGGGTTTCACCAATTTTCACTCTTGTGGCATGTTATGGCCTTACGAAGTGCTTCATGTTTACTATCAGGATGCTACCAAGGTCCTCACAGGTCTTAGTCACCTGCCGAGTGACAGGGGAACACTGGGCTTTCTTTGGCTGTATGTGATGCATATTTTGCATGGGCTGCTAGGAAGCTCAGAGCCACAGTGGTACCTACTGCAGTGGGGGAACCTCCAGCACAACCTCTGCCTTGGTTTTCACCTTCACTGCCCTTCTGTCTTCCCCCTTCCCTAAAGTCCAGTGCTCGCTCACAGTGGGCCTGCTCTTTGCAAGTGGCCGACTGTGGGGGCCTACCTGGGAGAGAGGAACAAAACCCAACGCCTGCAGCACTGTGCCTGAGAACTGCCCCGAAAGGCCGTAACTCTCCATCAGGTGGCTGCTTTTGAGATGGGGGATTATTAATGTTCTCTTATGGTCGGACACAGACAGTTTCCCAGATCTTTAGCTTTTTAACCCCCCACTGTTCTGACATAACTAAAACTCTGAGTGTGAATCCCTAAAAAGATATTTGAAATCTGCTGTCTTTTACTATCACAAGACTCCGGGTTTATAATGCAAAAACTGAATTGCGACTGCAAAGATCCAAGTGCTGCTGGGGCCGTTTCCCTCGCTCCTCGAGCTGAGATGTGTGTCCTTTGTACTTGGAATGTCAGAAGTCCCTGAGCACATTTGCAACTGTCCCCTGGGGAAGTTACTCTGAGCACGCCAGGCGGCGGTCCGCTGGGGGCTGTGGGAACGCTCCCATCTCAGCCTGCCTGTGTGCCCCCGGGAAGCCCACACCGCACTCACTGTTCCTTGATTTTATTTGCTGCCATCCTGCCGACCTCCTTCGTGTGGGCTTGGGCTTTGCATCCGTGCCACAGGTAAATGAGGGCCTTATTCACGTTGAGAACCACCATGGAAGTCCTGGACCTCAGGCTGCTACAGTGACAGGCCACCTCCAGCAAATTCCCTTCCATGGGGACTTCTCCTCGCACACAGTACAGCCTCCACTCACCTGCAGGGGGCGCCCATACACAGCGTTAGGACCTGGGAGAGTGAGGAGAAAAGCAGCCCTTCCTGGTCCCTGCTGGGCAATAGGCAGCAGCCACCGTGTCCCAGGGACTGAAGGGACTTGGGGACTGGGGCCTGCAGCACGAAGTCCTGCTGGGCAGCGCGTCTGGTCTTAATGCCATGCCTGGAAGCAAATCCTTTTGGAGTTGGAAGCAGGTTGCCAAAAATTCACGATGCAGAAAGACCATTTTCCCAAAATTTATAAGTCATACCACAGGCACACTTTAAAAGACTCTAAAGTTAAGAGTGCTTTGTTTTTTTGGATGCCAGCCAACAAAAATCTCATAATTTATAATAGAAGATCCACTGATTTTTTTTTTCCTCCTAAAACGAGCAGACCAGCCCCTGCAAGGGTTCGGTTCAGGTGAAGCCATCTTCCAGCCTCTGCACACAGGCGGGTCCTGAACTCCGCAGGGAGGAGGTGGCCTGCGGGCTCCTCATAAGCTTGGTTTAGCAGACAAGCACTGGGAGGCTTTCAGTGCTAAAGCCACAGTGATATGAACAGAGACGGATTTTAAATCCCCTTGCCTATAAAAATACTTTCCAGGAGAGGAAAAAATTGAGTTCTAGCAGTAAAAGTGACTTACTTTGCGCATTTTCTTCCTCCTCTTCCCGCCTCCCGGAGTGCACCACCATGCCCCCCTGAAAACACTGCAGGAAACAAGGGGGCTCTTTGCCCTGGAGAACCTGGACCTGCAGATTTAAACACAGCGAAATCAGTAACAGGGCTAGTCAGGGCTTTCGAAGGCATGAAAAGAGTAAGTACCTATGGTAGAAAGCCTGAAAAATACCAAGACCTACAAACAACAGCCAGTGACAATGCTATTATCTAAACATAAGAACTATCAAAATTCTAGTCTGCAGCCTTCCTTTCCAAGTGTCTTTCAGGCGGATAATTTTTTTCCGAGATGAACGTGGGGTGGGGACCTGCGGCCTTCAGGCCACATGCAGCCCTGCAGGGTCCCAGGTGCGGCCCCTCCGCCCAATCCAGACTTCATGGAACAGGCCCTTCATTAAAAAGATTTGTTCCGTAAAATTTGGATTCAGTCAAAAGGCTGCATTCAAGTATCCAGAAGGCCACATGTGACTCCAAAGCCACAGGTTTCCCACCCCATACTCTCATTTTTTTTCACCTAGTATTTTTCCATCATTGGATATCTTTTAAAAAACGTGAATTTTGATATTTGAATGGTATTCATTGGTACTGATACAGCTTTGTATTGGTGCAACACATTTTTAACAAAGTGTACCTCCCAGCAATGAGAATGACTAGCACTGCCTTAGTCATTAGAGGGGAAAAAGTAACCTTCATGACCACATGGCGGTCCACTCACAGAGCCTACAGGTGTGCGCCACCATGCCTGCTAGCGGCAGGCAGTGGTACATGTTTAAAATAATTTTCCATCATTGGATTGATACTCAAACTACACAGATTAAGGCTGAAAACTCTAAGGGTGATTTTGAAGGCATGATTAAAACATATTCATTCATGGCCTTTACCAAAAAAAGGGAGTTGTAGTTGAAATTACTGTCAGGAATAAATTAAAATGCAACTGTTGCCAGTGACCATTTCTAAAATATAGTCCACAGTAGAAAATGTGCATTTAAACACTTTTTAGGGAACACGATTGGTTCTTAGAGCTGTAGAAGCCTCAGTGAGTGTTCGTCCATTTCTGGAGAAAATGTCTCTGCTGTCCTCCCTCATGCTGATGTCAATCATTCGTCCAAGAACGTCAACATGTCTGCGCATGGTGTCCTGCTCTAGAACCCAGAGCCAACTCTTAGGTGCTGGCACTAAAGGACGCGATGCCCGATGTATGAGCCATCCAAGTGTTAAAAAAATGTTTACAGAACCTTGGATTTGGGCGGCAGTCCCTGAGGGCTCTGGGGTTCTCTAGGCTGTGAGGCCCTGGGACTGCACGCCCGGGGCATGGGGGACAAAGCCAGCACTTGCTTCAGGTGGTGGGAAGCGCTATGGAAACAAAGAGCAGACTGAGGGTCAGAGAGAGACGGGAGAGTGAGGAAGGGCCTGCACAGAGCAGGGCGCCCTGCCAGCAGAGCCTGCTCTCGGGCGGGGGGCTGCGAGTGCCCAGGGCAGAGGCAGTGCTCCGGGCGGCAGGGCGCGGGCTGGGGGCGCGTGTCTGCGTGCCGGCAAGAGGGCTGCAGCCGCCTGGGTGGGGGCAGGAGCAGGAGGAGCTCAGAGAGGTGCCCAGGGCTACCTCGGAGGGACTGAGCTCCCAGGAGGCCACTCAGACCGCAGCCTGTGTGGCAGAGGGCAAGAGAGTGACCCGATCCGGTGTGTCCCAGAAACCCGCCCAGGCCGCTGCAAGCAATGCTGACGGGAGGGCTCGATTTCACAGTCGTCTTTGATGTGTCCTGCAGGAGGTGTGTGTAAGGGGAACATCTGACTGAATTTTTAAGGTTCTTGAGCCAAAACTGCTCTTCGGGACGGCTGTTCCAAGTCGCACGTCCCACCAGAAGCCGGTGAGTGTCCCACTGAACCCTTGCCAGCCCTGGGTCCATTCTTTAAAAAAATATTACCAACTTTAGAAGGGGATGATGACATCTCTGTGTTTTACTTGCTTATTAGTGAGGTGGAAACCTTCGAAACTACTCACTGGGCATTTGTGCTTGTGGCATGGATTTCCCAGTTGCAGACACTGCATGCTTCTCAGAACATATTAGGACAGGCGGGAGGATGAAATAAACAGGAGGCGGAGCCTGAAATCTCCGGACACCAGACCAGGGCTGGCAGTGCTTTGGGTGACATGGTCCTTGCTCATTGGGATCAGGTCCTTACGGAGCAGGCCGAGCATCAGGGGCTCCCTGGAAAGGGTGCCCTTCCAGGTCCCCGAGACTCACCTGCGCGCCCCTTTCCTCGTCCAGCTCCACCGTCATCAGCGCCGACGTCCCCTTCTCACTCACAGTCGAGTGCCGGCCCTGCCAGAAGAAGTAGACGCACTTCTCTTTGCCGGTCACCCTGGCGGCGTGCTCTGGCTTCTGCCGGCTCCCCACTGCGAACACAGAGCGCAGAGGGCGGTCAGGGCTGCGAGCGCGGAGGGCGTGCCCGCTGGCTCCTCCAGGCCGGGCTGGGGGAGCCACTTGCACCGGGGGAAGGCAGTGGCGCCCCAGGGAAGAGAGGGCCCCTTCCTCCGGCTCGCTGTCCGCGCCGACCAGAGAAGCAGGATGGCTCGGCCCTCCCGCGGCCTGAGAGAAACACCGGCAGCCCGAGGGGGCGGTCGCGCACGTGTGGGGCGGGACGATTCCGTGAGGTATTTGGTGACAGACGTGTCTTCCATAGCATGCCACTCTTTGGCAGACGATTAGCTGATAGTGAGAAGACATTAAACACAACAGCTGGACTAGTTTTAAGCTCAAAGATGTAGACTTAAAGCTATTTTAATTTTGTTTAGGAAAGGAAGAAACCTTTGAAGTTTCCAAGTTCTGTCAGAAATGGAGGAGATGAATTGCTCACATATCACTTTCACAAAATGAACTGGGATTCCACGTCTGTTACCAGGGCTGTGGCCAGGATTAAGTCCTGATGTCCTTCTGGCCGGCACCCGGCAGGACGGCTTGCTCTGCAAAGCGTCCACGGAAGGTGAATTGGCGAAAAGGGCGTTTTAGACAGCACCGCCGCCCGCGAAACTCTGCCTCTAGCAAAGCATCCCCCCTAGCTTGCTTCGTTCACTCATTCGACAAACATCCATTGAGCAGGATGCTGGGGCTGCAGTGACAACAAGACAACCTCGGGCTTTCGCTCTAATCAGCAGACGAGCAGGACGATTCAGACGGGGACAAGTGTGTGAGTGCCAGGGGCGGGGCGGTGGCCCCGGCAGGGCTGCAGCTGTGGGGACGCCTGTGCGGTCCTTTCTGGGGAGGGGCTGAGCGGAGACCTGAATGACAGCGATGGGGACGCAGAACCTTCTGGGCCGAGTGAGGTCGGCAGAGCACGTTCTTGACTCGAAGGCCCGGGTGTTCCAGGTACTCTGCCACGATGCACGTTAGAAATCAATGATAACGACTGGACTCTCTGGTTCCATATTACCTCAATCGGTCTCACTTCCAAGGCCACTTTCAAAATCACAGTTTTATTGAGGATTAAAGGTAGGTGGAAAGCTTGGTTAAATTCTTAAAAGGCCGAGGACCATATTGGTGTGATTTTTGGCCTTTTGTTTAGAAAAGTATCCATAACACAGTTTTCATAAATGATCCTAATGATTTCTTAAAGTATTTCAACTGCACACAGCCTTTAGTGCTGTCTCCTATGGGTCTGACCTGGTCACGTTCACGTGGTTTTGAGCAGGCAAAGTGAGACAGGAGCTAATGAGTAGATGGGAGACACCCACAGTTAATTTGGAAGCCGCACAATTGAAATTTCTGCTAACTTAGCAACAGAAGTTTGCCTTTGATTGACAATCCCATTCTTCCAAGTAGAGAAAATTCTTCATGTCAACTTAATTACTGTGGAAAGATATGCTTAAAATAGATCTCAATGGTTTATATAGACCTTGGAATTTGTTAGCACTCAAAGATACCATGTAAATGTATAATCACACTTAAATAACCAACATTTAAGTCATAACATTCTTAAATAGAGTTGAGTGTATACACCTAAAATAGAATTGTTATTTCTTTAAAGATATTTCATGAAACAGACATTTTGCCAATTTTCCTTACAATTTTCCTCAACATACCCAAATCTAGTCCTATATACAACGTAATTTTTAATATATTTATTCATTTTAGCAAATACAGACTCAGTTTTCAGTGGGAAGAACTGCTGGGTCACCATGTTTACAACCTGGACCAGATGCCTAATGCGAAGGGCTGGTACGCCAGGCCATGCAAAATTCTTTCAAGATAAGTTCATTACCAGGAGTCCTGTTTAGGGTTAAGAGAAAGCTGCGGTAGGAAGAACGGCTCGTGGTCATATAGTCTTGCACCCGAATCACCTACTTATAGGAAGCTGACTTGTACCCTCTCTGGAGGAAGCTGACCCCGAGTCCCTGGGCACCTGAGCTGCTGTCTCCTGACCCTGCAGGCTGGCAGTGGGGCGGGACGCTGACCCAGCAGGTGGCTGGTGTCGGCCCGCAGGGGGACCCAGCACCTCTACAGCTGCTGTCTTCTGCTGCCCCTGCCCCAGAAGAGCGCCTGGGTCTCCGGCTCAGCCCCGTTGGCAGGTGCGGCCCTGGGGGGCATGAGTGATGGAGGAGCCGGGCCAGTGTCACCGAGGGGCCAGCGCTTCCGACACTGTTGCGGTGCAGCTGCAAACGCCACCAGGCTGCCATGCTCTGCTCCCAGAGGGACAGCCTGGAATCTGAGTGCTCCCTGCTCTGACTGTATCCTCTGCAGCTGGACTTGTTCAAAGCTGTAACTAACTCTGCTCACAGCAGTGCTGCCGGCGCTGGCGGTGACGCGCACGCTGGCGGTGACGCGCACGCTGGCGGTGACGCGCACGCTGGCTTTATCGGGAAGAAACACAGGGAAGAGTCGCCCGGTCCAGTCGTTACTTCCTAGGGGCCTCCACGTAAATAGGCCAAGAAATCTCAGCTTTGTTTATTTTTAATTAATTCATTTTAATGTCATTTATTCATTATTCATTCACTCACTGTGGCTTCTCTCTTATTGAACAATCGGCTGAGGTAAGAAAATAACTCAATTTCGAAGTGTGGTGTCCTTTGTCTTGTTTTATGAAACACGCATTTCCCTTTCTGCGTGTTAAGGACGGGAACTCTGGTGCCTTTACGGCTTTTTCCTTAAAGTCCCAGTGTCACAGCTCCCAGGGTTAGTAGACCCCCGCCCCCAAAGTCCCTGTTATTGTCTTCACTGCCAACCAGCAGTGAAGATGATTATTACATTTAACTTGCCATCCCTGCATCAGATCGAGGAACTTAAATCCACTACAGTGACTCTTCGGGAATTGCTGTTTTTCTGGGGAGATCCGTGCTCTCTCACCCTCAGTCCCGTACATCACTGCACTGCTCCTGCTGAGACGGCCAGTGATGAATATTCCCGCACCCGCAATGCGAACACGTGCCAGGCACACACCAAACGTCACGTACGCCAGACGGCAACGTCCTGTGAGCCAGTAGAAGAGATAACCCCTGCTTCCTGGGTGAGAAAACCAAGGCTCAGACGGGGTAAGTGGCGTTGCCGGCGCGCACAGCTGGTCGGTAAGGGCCTGAGACTTGAGCCCCAGACCCGAGGGTTGCAGGGCCCGTGCCTTCCATCCCAGCCACACGGCCTCCGCAGGACGCGCAAGGAAGTAGCTCCTATCAGCCCTCATAAGGAACCGAGCGGATGAGAAACGGCCCTCCCACCAGGGTCTGTGTCTGACACCCACCGGCGCCTGGAAGGAGGGCCAGGCCGCTGGGCCCTCCAGGACCCTTTCCTGAGGTTTGGTGTGTTCAGCGGCCCAGCCCGGAGCTGGGCTCTCTGCCGCTTCAACCCTGACCTTCTCCACAGCCTGGTGGTCTCGGTTCTTCCTTGTGGCCACTCTCGGCTCCCCCACCCTGGGCCACGGCCCAGACTCCGGCTCCCTGCCTGCAGGGCGAACTGCGGCGGTCAGCACCATGCCACTCTCGGCTTCGAAATGGCCGGGCACTGGGTGTGAGTGTCCAGCTCTGCTCTCTCCCACCGAGCGGCGACAGGTGAGTCCCTTAATCCTGCTGTCCTGCTCTCCTGGTCCTCACCTGAGAAGTTAGTGTCCTGACAAAACTAGCCCCGAAGAGCTGCGAGGCACTCAACTACAGCGCGGTAAAGCCCCGCATCCTGCCTCGGGGCGGGGGGCCTCCAGGCCTGCAGCCCAGCGATCCCCGCCCCCGGGCTGCGGCTGGATCTCTGGGCTGCTCCCAGTGATCTCCAGGGACTGCGACCTCGCACGGCAGGAAGTGCTCCCCCCTCCTGTGCTGGCTTCACTGTGCCCACGCTTGCTAGAGGCAGGGCCCCAGGCATTTGCTGGGCCCTACAGCAGGCGCCCCATACAGAGGGCTGCTCCGGAAGGGCTGCCAGCGGACTAACAGACTGTCTATGGCAGACCAGGAGGGAAGTCCCGCCTGCAAGTCTGCAGGTGACTGATCTGCAGACAGCGCCAGCTTCCTGCGGCCCTTGCCGCCTCACGCCAGCCAGGGGACTGCAACGAGGGTAACAAGCTTTCACAACATGCGGGCTCCACGCCCGAACGGGAAGGGTTGAGGACGGTCCAGGCCAAGGATTTTGAGAGTCCCTAGGTATCCTGCCGTGGCCCCGGCAGCCCCACGCCCGGAGGCCTGTCCTGTGTCTGCCTGCCTGACATTTGACCCCCAGGGACCACGGGCTGACTGTGTGTCTGCTGTGCCCCCCTGCAGGGACCACGGGCTGACTGTGTCTGCTGTGCCCACCCGCAGGGACCAGGGGCCGACTGTGTCTACTGTGCTCACCCGCAGGGACCACGGGCTGACTGTGTCTGCTGTGCCCACACGCAGGGACCACGGGCTGACTGTGTCTGCTGTGCCCACCCACAGGGACCACGGGCTGACTGTGTGTCTGCTGTGCCCACCCGCAGGGACCACGGGCTGACTGTGTCTGCTGTGCCCACCCGCAGGGACCAGGGGCTGACTGTGTCTGCTGTGCCCACCCGCAGGGACCACGGGCTGACTGTGTCTGCTGTGCCCACCTGCAGGGACCACGGGCTGACTGTGTGTCTACTGTGCTCACCCGCAGGGACCACGGGCTGACTGTGTGTCTACTGTGCCCACCCACAGGGACCAAGTGCTGACTGTGTGTCTGCTGTGCCCACCCCCATGGACCTGGGGCTGACTGTGTGTCTCTGTGCCCACCCACTGGGCACCGCTCTTAGGCCCAGCTTCAGAGGAAATCTCTCCTGGTGTCTTTAAAATAACTCTGGTGCGTGTGTTCACTACATCGTGCCGCCGTGGCTTGGTTGTAGGTTTAAGTTACAGGATATGTTCGACTTAACGACTTTAATTGAAGCAGCAGCCAGCCACATGGCAAATACCATCGGAGCAAATCGCCACTTCCCTAGACAGCTCGGGGCGGGCGGGCTGTGGGGCCGCGGCAGCCCTGGCGCCAGGTCCGTCTCTGTGGCAAGCGCCAGCGCGAGGGACACCAGCTGTCTGATGGCCTGGCGTCTCCTCCTCCCTGCAGCTTGCTCAGTGGCTGTCTGGGGGCAGACTGGGTGCGGCGCTGCGCTGCGGAGGGCGCGGGGTCCGGCCCGCGGGCCCTGGGCGGACGGCGGCGCGTGTCACTGACCTGCGGAGCTCACCGTGTACTTCCACTTGACCACGTAGGCGTCCCCCTCGTGGAACTGCCCCACGCTCTGCTTCGGGAGCCTGCTGTAGTCGAACTCCAGGATGTGCCAGGCGTCCACACAGACGCTGGCGATCGCGAACTGCCTGCTGTCGGGCCCTTCCACCAGGCCGTAGCCCCGGCCCACGTTCACGCCGTCCAGCACGGTGCCCGCCGGCGCCTGGGGCAGGGGCACCATCCGCGCCACGTCGTAGGGCTTCACGTCCGCCCTGGGCTCCTCCTGCGAGGGACACGAAACGCTGGGTCAGCGGCCTGTTTGCACAGCCCGTCCTGCCCCGCTGGCCGTGTGGCGCTCGCCGCGCATGGCACGCTCTCCCGCGGGCCGCGGCGCTGGAGGCCTGGGCCCCGCGCCACTGGCGTGCGCCAGGTGTCTGCAGCAGGTGCAAACGGGGCTGTTTCCCAGCGCCCGAGTTAGGTCATAACTGGAGACCAGTTTGCTGTTCTGCCAGTGAAGCCTCGGAAGGCTTCTTAGCTTAAAAGACACTGTTGTCTCTGTGTGTTAATTTTTTAAAAATTAAAGAAAATTAATTGACACATTATAATTATCCATATTTATGGGGTATAATTCGATATTTCAATGCATGTATTGCAGGAGGGAGGGATGGGAGAAGCTGGTCATCGGGTGCAAAGTGACTCTGAGGTTGAACAGTGAGCTCTGGTGTCCTGCCGCACAGAAGGGTGGCTACGGCAAGCAGTGAGGCACTACACTTTACAAAATGGCTAGAAGCGAGGTCTCTGAATGTTCTCACCACAAAGCAATGATAACTCCGCAAGGTGACACACACGCTCACCACCTGGCTCGGACCTCATGTGCCGAGACCACTTGTGCTGGGCTCACACCACGCCCTGAGTTTGGGGCTTCAGCACCCAGACTACCTTCTGCTGGGCGAGCTCTCCAGCGTTCTTCTCACTAGGTCTCTTCAGTTCAGTCCAATCCAGAAACTTCTCTTTGAATAAAATAGTCTCGTTGTGCTCAGTAAGTCTCCCAAATATGGCCCAATCAGGCCGCCCCTGTCCTTTTCTGCAGGGTGGGGGAGCAGACAGGAAAAGAACCAAGATTAAGCCATGACACAAAGGAATCTAAAACCCACATATGAGGCCGCTGAAAAAAGAAAAAACTCAAAATACATAAGTGTCATATAAAACAAATGATTTCTTTTCACTTATTTGAATGGCATTTTTTAATTTTATCCTGAAGCTTTGCAAAACTTTGTGTCCACGAGCTGATGTGCTTGAATGTGACATGAAACATGTTAGGACAGGATTCTTCTTCCATTCTAGCAAGTTCTTTGGGATGTCGGCAAAGGCAGGAGCCATGTGCACACCTTACTCACCTACTTCATGCTGCCAGACACCTGCAGGTACTTATCAAGCCTCCCTCCAATGAACTAATAGATCCAAAGAAGGTGTCACTCAACCTGAATTCTCTATTTTTTATGTCATGTTATGATGACCTCTCCAGAGCATGGAGATCTCCTCTGTTACGGGAAGGACACTCCCCTGTCTCACAGAGGGAAGCTCTGCACATTCATTTCTAGGCTACCGGCCAGGGCAGCAGGGTGGGCACAAGGACACGGGGACAGACAAGACACAGATCAACCTGGAGGTCTTGTGCAGTCTCAGGATTTTAGAATTTGACACTGTGGCCAAGAACACGGGTGATTTAGAAAAAGGTAGAGCTGAGCAAGCACACGCTGTAGGGGCAGCCCTGAGAATAACCGCAGGCCTTTCCCGTCCGTCGGCCTTTCCCGTCCGTCCAGGTCAGTCTGTCGTCGTGAACAGGGCCCATCAGACCGACTGCTGTGACCCTGTTTCAGTCACCTCCTGTCTGGTCAGGACTTGAGTGTCTGACGTCACCGCTCAGGCACATCAAAAAGGCTGCCTGTTTCAAAGGAAGCCAGAAGGGCAGACCACAGAACACAAATACTTGCACCTCGCGCTCTCACGGGACTCTGGGAATCAAACATCAGTGACTACGGGAAATGCATGGCTGCCTTGAAAGGTTGGGGTCTTCAATCAGAAAGTATCGGAATGACTGTCATTTGGGTAAACCCTGCCGTGCAGACTTGCTAAGACGACTACAGAAAGGGCTCGTGGTTCCTGCTTTAGAAGTCCATCTTTTATGATTTGAGGCAAGTGCCCAGAAGACTGCAGATGAGGGGATGAAGTTGGAGAAGCAGCCAGGTGTGTTTCTCTGCCTCCTTCCCAGACTTGTGTGGGCACCGGGCTCAGCGGCCTCAGTCTCAGCCTCCTTGAGTTTTAGCAGGTGCTGGGGCGTGATCTCGGCTGTGCTCAACAGCCCTGGGAGCTCTGAAGGCACACTGGCGCGCAAGCCCCACCACACGGGGAGCGGAAACATCTCTCTAGGCTGCGCCCAGCAAGTGCCGATTTTTAAAAGCTCTTCAGGTATTTCTGTTTCAGAGATGATAAAAACCAGTGGGCTAGATGCTCACTCATCTGCTTGCAACAACGTGATTATGTGACTACGATTATGTCACTATTAAATATAAATTGGTCATCATATAGATTTTATGCATCAGCACTATTTTTTTTCCTTTACTATAACAAATAAATGGTATTTTAAGTCATAGTGTCAGTTTTTAAAACACTGGTTCTTATGGTGCTGATGTTAAATGTGCATTTGCTTAAAAAGGATTTTAAAATTTTTCACCACATTGACATAATTTTTAATGGTTTCTATAATGATAATTAATTAATAATAAAATCAGTAATTGGACTTTAAAACAGGAAACTAGATAGGAAGTTTGAAATTTGTATACCACCTCAAGGAAAACATTTAAATGTGGTTGCATGATACCCAATATTCGATGCTGTTTGGTGCTACATCTATTGTTACTGTATTCTATGGCACACACAGTTTAAAAGCAGTTTTTTAGAGGGGGTCTGATAGTTCAAAAAAACCCCAATCCATTGCTGTAAAGATTCTTTACAGATTCTTAATAATCATATTTCTTAGAGTTTGTGCATATTCTGTTGATTTGTCAAAATGACTTTTAAAAGTCCAGTAAACTGTAGGAAATATTAAAAATACAATCATTATTTTAATACCATAGCCTCCCCACCAAAGGCAGAAAGGAACGAACAACATCTACTGCCACATAAACCCTGGCATTCAGGGGCTGTGCTGGGCAGGTCTGACATTAGAATGAAACGTGCTGCTTTTGTACCTTTAGCTCAATGGCTGAATTCCAGATCCCACGTAATCTGGATTTTCAGATCAGCATGTGATTTGTTTAAATAATTGCCATTTGCAGCTGGAAGGCTACAGGTGGGAACCATTTCTTCACTTTAAGAAATTAAATATAATACAAACATCTTCCAGAAGACTACAACATCCACATTTCCATATTAGGTAAAAGCTAAAGAAATGTTCTTTTTGTGAGTATTCATGGGCCCCTGTGTAGAACCGTTTATAAAAGCTAAATCCAGAAAGAGCTGCAGCAGGCAACTCTGGCGCGAGGCAGGCCCGCGAGGGGCGCCCTCGCTCTCTGTGCGGCCGCAGCCGGAGCACCTGGGGATCAGCGGGTTGCACTCTCCAGGGTCCAGCGGGTTGATGTCACAGTTGTCATAGTCGAAGGTTCCATTCCACAAGTGCTTCGCCAGCTGAAATGCTATTTTCCGTTGTGCTAATGTGACTTCTTTCCCATGCCACACGTAAACTTCACTGCCAAAATCAAACACCAGGACCTGGGGGACGGCACAGAAGAATCGGTTAACTTCCAAGATGTGCTTGGGTAGACCCGGGTTCTGTGTTGACAATGAATTAAACAGGCGATGATGCGAATCCTACACAGCAAAGTTACACGGTCTGACCAGCTGGCACCACCCTGCTACGCAGGCCTCTGCCCGGGCGTGTGATTCCCTTCGCCTGGTGTCCTAGGTGTCCCAGTCAGCGCTCCCTCCTCTGAACTCTCAAACCACGTTTGATTCGTAGAGTTAAGTGCATCTTTTCTCCTCTCTTTCCTCTCTCTCTCTCAGTGCTCATTCATTCACACAACATAGGACACTCCATCCATGCCAGGCTCCCATGTCGTCTCTCCCAGATCCACGACCCTTAAGAGCAGAGACCATATCACACAGACACATACAGCTGGGGTCGGTTGTTGCTTACTGTTTCCTGAACGAATACATGACTGTGACACTATTTCTTATTTCTGTATCTGTGGTTTGTCCTATTCTTTCTCTTAGAATAATTTCTCTCTTCATTTCCAGCAACCCAAATTTTACTTAACTCTAAACTTGACTTAATTTTATTTTCTCTTTAAAATTATTCCTGATTATTTTTCTGTGACTTTTTCTCCCACATATATCAGACCCTCAGTCTAGCTTCAGGGCACATTCTTTCTAATACTCTTCTATCTAGTGAAATTTAAGGTCCTTGTGTGTCTTCCCGTTTTTCCTCAACACTTAGCATATTTAATATAATAGAAAGCTATGTAATTAATAAATATTTACTGGTGTGAGAGGAAAAAAGAAGCACATTACTTGACAAATCCATATATTATATATGCATGCATCTATTAGTCCTCTAACTTAAGGACTGAAAAAAAATTTAATGTTTATATAAAATTCAAGAGATAGGGCTAAGTAATTTTGCCTAAAGTATAAAAGCCTTCAATGATCCATGTTCCTCTGAATAATATTCTTAATTGTATGTTAGTATTTAAGATGGCAGTAATGGTTTGAAATCACAAATATCCTTTAAAAAGCTGTAAATGTCCTATGATCAGTACTAACACCGTCCGACCGTTTTTGCGCACTTGCTCTCTATTTTACTGGGCTGCCCTGGGATGACTGTGATTTCAGTGCACCTTCCTGTTGCAGGCTGGAGCCCACCCAGTGTACCTCTTTTGGCTGCAGGAGAGAGCACTTGGGGATCTTCCCCCAGTAGTCGTCGTCAGGAACAAGCTTGTCATCCGTCAGACGGTAAATGCAGTTTGTTTCTATTATAGCTGTTTCATATAGCTCGTCTTCTTTAGGGTCTCCAGCAGCTTGGGGAGAAGGACAACAGGAGAGTGTCACATTTTACACTAAAAAGTCACTGGTTTAGAAGAATGACCAAAGGGAGAAGGAAAGAGACTCGAATCTTATCAGCCTCTGAAATACAACGGACGCTTACATTGGTAACTGGTCTGGCCTCCCAGGAGCTTCCAGAAGTCTTTGGCTGCATGAGTGTGTGTATTAATCCCTTCTTCGATGGTCTGGATGTAAGTAGCTCTACAGCCAAGTTCCCTCTTCGTCTGAATTAAAGTTGCAAGTTCAGAGGCCTAAAAAAGGACAGGAACACAATTACCTGGGTAGAAAACCCCACGGCTAGACAGAGTAGCACGAGCTAAAATCAGAGAATAGAAATGGTGTACATCTGCAAGGAAGACCTTGTGACCACAGGTGTGGGTGGACACTGGTTATTGGGGATTTTTAATAAAGTCAAGAAAATATAACTAAAGGACAAGGGGGTATCAATTTTTTAGAGCAATAATTCTCAATATTCAGCAGGTCATGTGGCCTTTACAAAGCCACCATTCTTTGGGCTTTACCCTGTGGGATTCTTACTCAAATGGTCTGGGGCAGAACTACATAGGTGCCTGGGATAAAGGACTTTGAAGTAGCACCAGTTCCTTTCTTACATAAGAATAAACCCAGGACTTAAACACTGAAGGTGCAGGTCAGAGTCCTTCTAAAGCATCCCCCTTAAGTGCCCACTGAAAGCTTGTTTAAGAGACACCCGGGACGAGAAACACACCTGCCCCTTCCCACTGGAACGGAGCGCCTGGCACGCCCGAGATGCTGTCTCATGATGTGACAACTGCAAGAACGTGCTCTGGGTGCATAAAGGAGATGTTAGCTCAAGTGTTTGCATCTTTCAGATACCAACCTTCGCCTTTTCTATGACGTTTGCAAACTCTCCGACCCACAGGAAGCAGTGGTGGGGAGAGAGCAGGAGGAAGCAGTCCCCACTGTTGAGTGACGAGGCGCGGGGCTCCACCAGCCTGGTCTGCACGTGTCTTCTTCCTGAACACGAGGCCAAGAGTCACCGTCCTCCCCGACAGGGTGGCGGGGACCAGGCGACCCTGCACTGGGAGCAGCCCTGCCACAGACCCTTTGGGTTCTAGAGTCTCGCCTGCATGACAGGTCCGAGATGGCGTCATTGGTTACTTCCCTCGGGTCCCCACGCTACTCGGGACGTTATCGGTGTCTGTTCACGGTGCGTGTGGATTAATTAAGGCTCCTTCCTCCCAGGAAATGCATAAACATCCTCCTCTTCCCTCATCCACTCTTCTCCTAAGGCCTTTCTCTCCACCTAGCGTCCCCACTGCGCCCAGCGACACCTGCCAGCCGGGCCTTGCAGAGGTGCGCCCTGCACGCAGGGCCTCCCCTTCCAGAGCTTCCTCTGCAGCCACAGCGTGGTGCGGTCGGATCGACCCGGAGGGGAGCACAGCCTCATGCTGGCCTCAGCACCTTCTCCTAACCGGTTTGTTGGTTTCGGGCTGTCCCGAACTACACTGACAGCGTATTCTCTGGGTTAGAACGTGGAACAGAGATTGGTACTTGGGCTTGTCACTCATCTTTTTACATATGCCAGAAAGGACGATGACGACGCAGGAACATGCCAAAGACCCTCAGGAGGCATGGCATGGTTCACCCACCGTCTTTCTGAGGAGTCGTCTCTAGGGGTGGCCGGGAAGCAGTACCTGGCTGTCCCCGAAGCCTCCCTCACTACAGGTAGGAAGCGCCTCTGGTGGAAACCAGGGTCAGCTCATTCCTCTGCCTTCCGTGATTCCTTCCCCAAGAAGGTGCCCCTCTCCTTCCGGCCTGCACGACTTTTGCTTATCTCCACGTGGAGGACCGGGTAGAGAGCCGAGAGCCACTGTGATGGCCTCAGGCACTCCTGGTAACTGCCTGGGGGCAGGACGCAGCTGCCGTGAGCCCGGCACCTTACCAACCTCTCGAGGCCCCGTGGGCGAGCATTTCCCGCCTTGTGGGCGGTGGGGAGCTGGGGAGAGGAGGCAGCGTGGCGCAGCACACAGGAGGCCCCAGAGTGTGCGTTCCCTCCCCGAGCAGGGGATGAAAGGGGCAGTCGGGACTCTGGTCGCCGTGGAATTTCTCCAGGCTGCTGGGGTACCTTTAATCTGCAGCAGCATCAGCTTCTTGTAGGGCACCGCGCTGTTGTTCGAGTTCTGCTCCGTTAGGGCGACGCTCCGCAGGCTGACGCTGCTGAAGTTTTCTTTGCTGGCTAAACCTGCCAGAGTGACTTCCGAGAAGGTGGAATTGGAGGACACTGGGCAGGTTGAATAAGGAAACACAACAGGGGGAGGCAGGAGGTTCAGTTGAAAGGGCAGTGTTGACGACCAGAAAGTTTGTGCAGCTCCAGGCTTAACCACCGTGTTAAAAATGAGACACAGGACTGAAAGAATAAAATGCTTCTTGACAGGTGTCACACCTCGCCATGCCGAGGGGCAAGAATTGAGTGGACTGAGTGACGATGTGGACCAGCTACTTTAGTATAACACCAGGTCATTTGCTGCAATTCCACGGAAAGCTGTTATAAACACTAACGACTTTTAGACATTGGACTGTGTTCCCAGGGATGGCTAGTAGATGTCTTTCACCGAAAGCCTTTTATATGTAGAAAGGGAGACACTTTGTCAGGGACCATTCGTTCTAATCTTTTTCTAGAGGCACAGTGATCAGCTAGGTGACATCTTGAGGTCCTGGCTCCCAGACCGCAGCGGCATCACCAGGCGCTGGGCTGCCAGGGCGTGCCGCCAAGCCGCGCCCTACACGCCCAAGGCTGGAGGCAGAGGAATAGTATGTGAAACCTGTGCCGACCGGCCTTTATTCTCCAACTTATTGTTCTAAAAACTGTAGATGCTGGAGAGACATTCAGAAAGTTATTTCACTGGGATTAGGCTTGAAGAAAGATAACACTACCTGACAATTCCTATGGCATGATGATTTTGAAATATATTTTCTTAGTGTACTAGTTTTAATCAAAAGACTCAACCACATCATCTAAATACTATCTTTCTAAGAAAAACGTTAGGAAACAGGTTTATGAGTGCTATAGAAAAGTGAAAATTATGGCAAGAATATTCAAAATATCAAGATTTACACATGCTATCACCTCTGCCAAGAGTGCTGCTGTTTCAGAACTCAGGAACCCCACATTATTGAGCAGATAAAAGCAGTGTGGCTCAGCCTGAAGCGGGAGCAAGTGCCCAGAACCGCTTTCTCAGAACTCCCAATGAGCCCCTCCACCCAACCGACATCCCACCAAGGAGCTGAGGGTCCTACTGAGAACAGTTTGAAAAGAACTGGCTTACGCATTGATAATATAAACATTTAGGATTAGAAAAAGCAGTGATCCGGGCCATTTTTCCATGAAAGATAAAATGCTTTACTCTTGAATAAAATTAAGTGGAGAATTATTGTGTTTAGGCCCTACACAGCTGAAAGTGGGCGGAATTATGGTGTCCACAAACATTCTTCTCCAACCTCTTGCAAGGAAGCTCAACAAAACAGGATAATTCGAATTAACCAATGACCAGATGATGCACCTGTGGAGAGGCGTTAGCTTCTAGACAGGTGTGCATGTGCATGTGCAACCTCATTCGTTTTTATTTCATGAGGTTTTCTGCAAGGCAGGAAAACAAGACATGACTGAAATGACCGAGCAGCCAGCCCCCGAGCACGGCAGCGGTGGTGGCCCCGACACTCACTCTTCTCCACTTTCATGCGCTTTGACTCCACGAGGGCCACGTTCAGCCTCTGCTCCGTGTACTCCTGCAGGAGATCTTCTCTCGCTGCCAGCATCTTCAGGGGGTTTCTCGAAGCCTGCACCCGGCGCTTGGGCCGCACCGCGCGCCTGTGCTCTGCCACGGAGGACGCCAGCCTGCGGGAAGCAGAGGCGTCCGTCTGCGACAGCAGCCGCACCGGCCGTGTGGTTCTGGACCCCACAGTTTCACTTCCTGATTTCGTCATAGACCTTACAGCTCCCCCTCGGCCGCTCCCCAGACGTGGAGTCGCAGCACCGTAGCCGGGAGGAGGACTCAAGCCCACAGAATTCAAAGCCAGCCCCCAGACGCCCCGCACACTGGAGCCCCGCGGCCCTCTCCCCGCCACCGGCCTGCTCCGGCGCCCCGCGGAGCCAGACACCCTGGCCCGCCTCGCTGCTCTGCCCGTCCGCGGCCTGCCCCAGCCACCGTCCCTGCTCCCGACTGGCTTCCTCCCAGCAGCAGCTCCTCCGTCCCCTCCTCATCCTCCACGCTGGCCGCCACGCAGCCCACTGTCCGTCTCTGAAAAGTAACCACGATGTGGAAGAACCCATTGAAATAAACTCGGCCCACAACCCCTGGGACCGCCCGACGCTCTCACAGCCCTCGGGGTGGGGACCCAGGCTGCCAGAGGGGACACCCGTCACGCCATCTCCCAGGGGTGCTCTGTCACCTTAACTTCTGGCTGCACAGGTCTCTGTGCCTGAAGGGCCTCTTTCTGTCATCACGTCACATGTGTGTAAGCATGCAGATACACGCTTAGATCATTGTATGTAACAATTCAAACAATGACATCGGGCCGGGAGAAGTTTGAGAAATGGCTTGAATAACTATGTATGCAAATACCCCAAATGTTATTTCAAGGTGGACAATGGCAAAGGGCTCATTTTCTTCAAGGCAGGGAGCTGAAACAAGCTGAAACATGCAGAAAATGCGCCGGGAGCGGCTCTGGAATGCGCCCACGCGAGACGGTGCCCGACGGCCCGTGGGAAGAGCGGCCCGTGCGGCGGCCGCTGGGGCTGGCCGGCCCAGAGGACGCCCGCTTCTGGCGACAGCATCCGGTTTTCCTTTCCAGAAACCCCTCACTCTCCGCCCCCGCCACGGCTCCGGAGGGGTCAGAAGCCCAGTTCTGGCCGGTCCGTGCCTTCCGTCCGCTGGCCACAGCGGCCGGCCGGGGGTGGACGTGGCTCCGGCTGGCGCCGGGGAACCGCCCGGGCGTCTGCTGGCAGGCGGGAGGGAGACGCCACCCAGCCGGCGCGCAGCGGGGCGCGGGCGAGCGAGGGCCACGGGCAACAGCCAGGATGCCACAGTGCTCCAGGAGCCCCGGCCCCCAGGTCCCGCCTGCGCTTCTCCGCAGGCAGGCCCGTGAGTCTCCCTGCGCCTTTCTTTTGCTGACACCACTTTGACTTGGGGTTTTCCTGGCACTGGCAACTGAAGGAACCCTAGTAACGTGATTCACTTTGTTAGGTGGTTTAGCCGAGTTCTCACATGAAGAGAGACCCTTGGCCTGGGCACCACTGAGAGGGCCCTCAGGTCTGTTGCTTTTATGCATGGTTGTGAGCTGAGTGACACTCTCCCTGGGGTCACCGTCAGCTGCGAGCTGAGTGACACTCTCCCTGGTGTCACAGTCAGCTGCGAGCTGAGTGACACTCTCCCTGGGGTCACCGTCAGCTGCGAGCTGAGTGACGCTCTCCCTGGGGTCACCGTCAGCTGCGAGCTGAGTGACGCTCTCCCTGGTGTCACAGTCAGCTGAGAGCTGAGTGACGCTCTCCCTGGGGTCACCGTCAGCTGCGAGCTGAGTGACACTCTCCCTGGTGTCACCGTCAGCTGTGCTCATTTGAGCACACATCATCCCAACATTTTTCAAAACCCTGAGTAACAATTCACGATGTCAGATGAACGACACCTCCGACTACACGGAGGTAGAAACCTCCGCTAAGTGACGTTACTCTAAAATATTGCGAAACAATGTTCAAGTTACTTGAAAAATCCAGCGAGGCCATCTTTATGGGGCAGGACAAACAGCCGTGGCGCGTGCGGTCTGCCTGAAGCGCCTCTGGTCGGGCCGCGCCAGCCGCCCGCGCCGCCGCGCACCTGGCGCCTGGGCGGCGCAGGCTGGGATGGGGCTCCGCCGCAGAAGGTGACACGGGGACCCTGTGAAGCACCACGTGGGGGCCACGAAGGAGGCCGCTCCCAGGGGAAGACAGACGGAGACCAGAGAAACTCACCTGGGTGCATCGGGATCAAAAATCACATCGAAGTCCTCGTGGAGCTCCGCTGGGCTCCGTGGCACGCTGCGGCCCACGCTGCGGTAGAATCTGGCGAAGGTCTCGTCGTCCGGCTTCATCACCTCCTTGACAGACTTGCCGGTGACAGTGAGCACCGTCTCCTGCAGCCCACCCGCTGCCGGCACACAAGCAGCGGGTAAGGGCTTTAGGAAGCCGTGACTCCAAGTGTGCCTCCCGGCATTTAAGAATGACTTCCTCCCCTAATTCAGCAGCAGGGAGGGCACGATCGTGACATGCAAGGCCCTGTGGCTGTCTCCTGAGCCCTTGCCTGACTTGTAGGCAAGGACGGCCCACTGAGCAAGCCCTGCCCAGGGACGCGGAGGGGAGGCAGGCTGACTGCTGCTCACAAGTCCACCGAACAGTTCTGGGTCCGTTTCCACTGGGGGCAGGGCCAGCCTCAGCCTCATTCTACATCAGCGTTGGCAAACTTCTTCCAAAAAGGGCTGGCAGTAAATATTTTAGGCTTTGCATGGGGTGGGGCAGGGAGGTGCATGCGGCCTGTGCTGCAGCTACTCAATTCTGCTGTCGAGGTGCAAAAGCAGCTACTGGAAATAGGGTCACAAATGGGCATGGATGTGTGCCAATAAAGCTTTATTTACAAAAACAGGTGGACAGCTGGATCTGGCTATGGCCATTGTTACATGTATGAAATAATTTTTTTGATTGTTCAATCCCTTGTCTAGCCAGCTCAGTTATTATATTACACTTTAGTATTTCTGTTTTATAGTGGTTGTTTGTGCTGTTTTCGCCTTTTCAGGGTCGCTGTCAGAGTAAGGACTCCCAGGGCATAGAATTTGATAAGTTTTAAGTACTGGACCTTTTTGTCAAGAGACAAAAGGCTATTTCTGCACATTATTCTTTTATTTTGTATACTTTGCTGACATTATATTAAAATATTTATTCCAACATTTATCAGAATTTTCTTTTAGAAATCATTTCTGATTATAAAAAATAATATCACCTTTTACCTTTTCTTTTTTTTTTTTTTTTTTTTGAGACAATCTCACTCTGTTGCCCAGGCTAGAGTGCCATGGCATCAGCCTGGCTCACTGCAACCTCAAACTCTTGGGCTCAAGTGATCCTCCTGCTTCACCCTCCTGAATAGCTGGGACTACAGGCATGTGCCACCACACCTGGCTAATTTTTTGTTTCTATTTTTAAGTGCCTGGCTATTTTTTTCTATTTTTAGTAGAGATAGGTTCTCGCTCTTGCTCAGGTTGGTCTCGAACTCCTGAGCTCAAGCGATCCACCACGCCCAGCCCAGCTTTTACCTTATTAGAAATTGATACCTACAACTTAAGGTTCATCAGGCCAGCCTGAGATCACGTTGATTTTGTGTATGTGTCGTAATTTGCTTTTGGTGTTACAAGTGAAATCACTGAGTTCACAATTCTGACTGGAGGACGTCCCAAGGGTTTTAAATTCAGGAACAAGTAAGTGTGTTATTGGAGTCCCTGACTGAGTACATCATCAAGTGAATCAGGGCTTGATAATCCAAATAGTGATGACCAAAGCCTCCTTTTTTGACAGGCAATGACAAAGATAATGATTACAGTATGAACTGGTAAAGCCATAATGAAAGAAGACAATTTAGCTGAGGACAAAAAGCAGTCAGAGTTAGGGTTTAGAGCAGGGGTCCTCAAACTTTTAAACAGGGGGCCAGTTCGCTGTCCCTCAGACTGTTGGAGGGCCGGACTATAGGTGAATAAAAACTATGAACAAATTCCTATGCACACTGCACATATCTTATTTTGAAGTAAAAAAACAAACGGGCAAAAACACCTGCATGTGGCCCATGGGCTGTGGTTTGAGGACGCCTGATTTAGAGGTTTTGAGAGCGAAGCCTTCTGACTTCTGGGGTGTACCTTTGTTGTTGAGCCTTCTTAGGAAGGTTTCCAGCCTGTCCAGCTTCAGGTCCGACTCTAGCTGCATGTCTGGTCTGGCTTCGATATCTGGGCAGACAGACACCAGCAGTGAGGACACATCACTGGGGTCCTGGGGCCAGAAACTCCTCGGCGCGCCGGAGCCACGGCGACTTACCTTCCAGGGGTTTGGAAACCGGTGTCGTCCCCCTCGTCTTGCTGCAAATGGGAGATGCCACCGGGGTCATGGCAGTGGGTGACGCCAACCCTGCAGGACAAGCAAAGGACCTGTTGGATTTCTCGGGATCACGTCCGGAAACCTCCAGGACCTGGGAGACCTCCGTGTGTTCCAGTGCAGACTGCACAGCACGTAAGGATCTAGCCATGTGCGTGCACGCGCACACGCACGTGCACACACACGCAGACGCGCACACACGCAGACGAGCACACGTCCACATGCGCGCATCTGGCGCTCCGTGGGACGCCTGCAAAGGTAGACAGGATGTTATCATTTCCACGGACCGAGAGAGCTCCAAGCCGACGTTCCAGACGGACACCGAGGATGTGGAAAGCGAGTCCGCGCCGTGTGAACTGGAGTGGATGGAGGCGCGAGCTCCCCTTCGGGGAAGGCAAGGCGGCTGAGGGGAGGCCTGTCTGCACCGGCCGCAGCGCGGTCGAGAAGGAGCCGCGTCGCACCAGCCGGCGACTGGCCCCAGCACCGGTGTCCCCCCAGGCCGAGCTGGGGGTGGCGCGGGGCCTTGGCATCGCACAGATGATGCCCCGCGGCTGCCGGTCCCTCGCGGGACGGCCGGGCGCGGGAGGGCCTCGCCCGTCGCAGGGACGGCTGGAAACCGGCACTGTGCTCTCTTGTGTGCGATGTTTATCTAGAAGCAGGGTGGGGATCTTTAAAAGGGCAAATGGCAAGGGACGTATGAAACGGAAAGAAAGGAAGTCCAGCAGAGAGAAGGTATCTGGTTGGGACAGGAAAACTCAATTAAGAGAAAGGCAAGTATTTTATCCTAACCCAAGTAAAGGGGTAGGAAAGGGACATGATCAGCGTATTTTACAAAACCCGAAAGATGTGAATATCCTTTGTGTTCATCTGTGATAAATGTGAGCTCAGGTGACAGTGCAGTTCACATGTCTGGAAGGACAGCATCTGGAGGACACGCACACCACCGTCCCTCACAAGGAAAATGAATGCACCCATGAATGACTCTGCTCCTTCCTCCTGAGAGTCGGAGAGGTAACTATTACGGCATAAAAAATTTAAGGAAAAATGCCCATAGTGGTTTAAAACCTAAGTTTTAGGTACTATTCTAGAAGCACTTCTCATCATGTACATATATTTGATTGATGATGTCAATACACATTTCACAATTTGTTTCAATTGCCAGACCTCGAAAGGGTTTACATGAGTGAGAAAGTGCACTGTCCTGGAAGATGACAAAGAAAGCAGGATTGGAATTGCAGTGGCAGCACACTGTCACCATGATGGTGCTTCAGAGGCTTCGGCAGACCTGTGAGCACAGAGGTCGTTAACTCTGAAGCTAATAAAACAAGACAGACTCAGAAGGCTGGTTTCCAAAGTAACCAGTGAAACACGTCCCTCTTCTATGGGACACTGGGCAAACCCTGCTGTGATGGCCCCCTCTGCTGACCCTTCAGGCAGGGAAACTACAAATAAAAGAAAAACAGCTCGCGGAGGGGGCACATTTCTTTTCTAGCCAGAGAGCTAGAGACAGGACTCTTCTGTAATGGTGCAGGGCAACAGAGAGTTAAATTACAAAACGTTAAAACAAAGCCCTCCCCTATATCTCTTTTCAATGAATTCTAGACGCAACAACCAGTCACCTACTTTCTTTGGGAACATTTTCCCCTCTTTCTTATTCAAAGGTGCACTTAGAATACTCTTCTTCCAGGAGAACCCTAGAGTGCCATGGAAACCTTGTGGGGTGCTAATTATTCCACAGAATCCAGGGGGAGAAGCGGTGTTTCTGGAGTGAGAGCTTGGACATCAGGGGGACATGGGGGCCAGTGTGCCTCCTGGTGCCCTGGGTGTGGCAAACCCCAGGTGCCCCATGGCCTGCTGGGACGGGAGGTGCGGCTGCCTGGAGGGGCTATTTTATTCTGTAGCCCATGTGGGTGGGATCCATGACACTGCACGTCCAAAAGGGTTAATGACCCACGAGAAGTATGTAACCCAGTAGGGGTAACAAATAATTAGAAATATAGGATACAGTTTCTTCATTAGATTAAAAGTACAAGAAAATTATTTCCTGACAAGCAGCATAGCATGTTAAATAAAAAATCCCAATTTATATGGGAAAATGTGAAAGCAAACTCATCCACTGAGGAATGGAAACTACTCCTTCTCTAATCCTATATAAGAGCACTTACTTTCTCTGCTATCAATGCGGACAAGAGGAGAGGTATTTGGCAGTAAGAGTCCCCTTACAAACACACCACAATTTTTAAGATCAGAGAAGGAAAAAGAAACCAAAGCAAAAAATCGTCAGGTATTGAGAAATATGATTGAGGAATTAATGAAATGTGGCTCATAAGACCATCATTTTATTGTATAACCCAATATTGCTATATTAAAGACAGAAACAGGACTTGGCAGAGTTTTCCCTGAAGGAATGTGTGTACTCAATGGGTCACTTATTAGAGGCTGCTGTCATGGGAGAGCTCTCAAATCTCTGGTAGGGATGTTTTCCAGGAAGGCTTCCCGGTATCTCAAAATCTGTGAGCTTCCCTGTGTCTTAAAAGACAAGGCAAGGCGAACAGGGCCCACAGGATGGGAGCCAGAGAGGACAAGTGCACTTTGCCCAGAGATGCGCCCTGGTGTTTATAAACAACCTGTTTATTAGAGATGGGCTTCCTGCTCTCTCCTGTCTGTCTACCTTAAAGTCCACCATAACTAATCAAAGAAATGTAGAGTCACTATACCTCTTTTGTTATACCTTTGTTAATTGACAACTCCCTCATAGAACTTTTAGCCCCTGAAAGACTTTGTACCTGTTTGTTCACCTAGATATATTAGAAGCCCCTTGAGAGGACTTTTGACCCCAACCCACTACCTGTATCCCCTAGCAACTGCATTCCCTGATATGCAAATATGTTACCCTGACAACTGGTAATTGATGTCTGTGATTATAAAAACCTGTATGAATCTAACCATATCGCCGGCGTTTATGGAGATATGCCAGTCCCCTAAGTACCCCGCTATATTTTATCTGATCTTTTTATATATATAAAACTATAAACTATACCTTAGTCTCTGTGTATTCTTTTATTTCTCTCTGTTGCCTATCAATTTCCGTATCCTCTGTGGCGACCGCTCTCTTAGGGACTTGGCTCCGTGGGGAGAAGTAGCTGATTGTGGGCCTGCCTCAAATACTACTCTCCCGCAGACAGGAGAAAAATCCATGCTAGAAGATGGAAAACTGAAGCTCTGATTCAAGTTCCCATCTTAAGTTCTTTTTAGCCAATCTGGGCCTGAGGCACGCATTTGTTAGCACAGGACGTGGACCTTGCTAAAGTAGTTTAAACATGACCATACGGCTCTGTGATTTGATGATGAAAACAGTCACATGCTACCTCATTGTGTGAGGGTAGATTATCTTCTGTTATCCTTTGAAAATTCCAAGGTGAGGAGAGGACAGATTTGTTAGAAAGGATCCTTCCACTAAGATCTGAGTGGGTCACAATTCCTTCTGCAAACGTTTATTTTGTGCCTGCGATGAGTTAGGCACCATTCCTAAGAACCAGGATCCCTGACGGTTTTGATAAAAAGGAAAGCTAAACTAACCTATAAAGTTGATGACAATATGTTGAAACTAAGTGAATGTGAAAACTTTTACTACTAAGTTAGGAAATATGTTTTTAAATAATAGCTTAGAAAATGAAGGTATATGCATATTGGTGACAGAGGAACCCCAAATTCTAACCATTTCCTACAGAATATGAAATAAAAGCCCCGAATAATCCCATGGAGCCTCAAAGCTCTTTGAGACTTCACTAACCATGTGACCTGTCAGTCAATTTCATAGCTCTTTGAACGCAGTCTTCAAATCAGTCGGTCCCAAGACTTGAGCTACAGGGAAGGAACTTCAGCAGGGAAATCCCATTTCCCTGGAATTGGACACATCTTTTTTTTTTTTTTTTTGAGACAGAGTCTCACTTTGTTGTCCAGGCTAGAGTGAGTGCCGTGGCGTCAGCCTAGCTCACAGCAACCTCAAACTCCTGGGCTCAAGCGATCCTCCTGCCTCAGCCTCCCGAGTAGCTGGGACTACAGGCATGCGCCACCATGCCCGGCTAATTTTTTATATATATATATATCAGTTGGCCAATTAATTTCTTTCTATTTATAGTAGAGACGGGGTCTCGCTCTTGCTCAGGCTGGTTTTGAACTCCTGACCTTGAGCAATCCGCCCGCCTCGGCCTCCCAAGAGCTAGGATTACAGGCGTGAGCCACAGCGCCCGGCCGGACACATCTTTTAACATCTATTAAAACATATCTGGAAACTGGCCTCTGTAAGCCAGAGAAATCCGGTTCAATGGAAAGGGACCTAGGAATGAACCTGAAAGGGAGAGGAGGTAAACGTCCTTATTGAGAAAGGCTCATTTGGGGGAAGGCGTTGTTAGGCTATGAGAAAATACCAATAGAAATAATTTAAAAGAAATTATGGGAAAAGACCAAGATTTGGTAGCAGATTTGCAATTGCTTTCGAAACCTACCATTGCACTCTATTTCCAAATAGGTCAGTTTCGAAATAGGGACAAAGTGACTTATGTGTCTCACGTGGAAGATGGCACTATTTATGAAGAAAAGACATGCAGTAGGAATAGCTCACAAAACCTACCCACAAAACGTTTCCACACTGTAAGTTAAAAAAGTTAAGAAGATCGTGGCTTCTTTTTCTTAAATTAAGCTGTCACATGCCACCATCACCTTCACGGGTAGGCGTGCTCGCCAGGGTGCACACGCACACACATGCGCACACCCGCACACACACACTCTGACCTTTCTTCACCATCCTGCCAGCCACGGAAAACTGGGTGGAGTCGTTGGCGGCGCCCCGGCCTTTGGTTTTCCACGCTTCCTCTCTCACAGCGATCAGATGCTTCCTCTCCTCAATGGTCATCTGGCTCTCGCGACTTTCTGTGACCTGCTGTTTATGAGACACACAAAACAGAAAACAGGAGGAAGAAATGGTAGGCGTGTGGATCGTGGCCTACAGCACTCATCTGCGAAGAAAGCACGCAAACAAGGAGGAGCCACACGTTGTCCAAAGATGCCCCAAAATGTGCTATTTGAAATGGGTTTGGCTTCCTTCTTTCCAGGCCATCAACAACACCGAAACTTCAGGTGCGCTCTCTGTGCCCTCACCTGTGTGCTGGGACACGGGCCGCCAGACGATGCCTTGGAGACACAACTATTAAGGCAGATGTCTCCGTGCCCTGCACGCCACATGGTTTGAAAGTGGCTCGGTCCTACCCAACTAGTTACACTCAGTGAACTGGGAGACTTTTATTCACATATGCTCATAAAGAACGTGATCAGTCCAGAAACCCTTTTCCACAGAAGCCCATGAGGACACAGTCAGCAGCAAAGCGGCAGCCTGAGGGGGGTGTCCTGCAAGGCTGTCACACTTTTCCCTGCAGCAGTGACGGACGTCACCCTCAGCATGAGCTTCGCTGCAGACATGACCTACGTGTCCAATGACATTAAAAACGCTTTCACAGGTTTCTAACTGGGGTTCTGGAGATGCTGGCCTCCGCAGTTTCCAAGCCATTTAGCGAGGTTCCTTTGGCCTGGGGCTGGGCTAAGGGCTTTCAGGCACAGAAAGCACATGGGGAGAAGCTAGGGGGGGCTCAGGGACTAGGAGAGGAGGAAGAGTGCAGGGCCTGGGACAACAGGAGGGCTGGGGGAGGGAGGAGGTGGAGGACTGGCTCAGGGCTGGAGGGAGGGAGGAGGTGGAGGACTGGCTCAGGGCTGGAGGGAGGGAGGAGGTGGAGGACTGGCTCAGGGCTGGGGGAGGGAGGAGGTGGAGGACTGGCTCAGGGCTGGGGGGAGGGAGGAGGTGGAGGACTGGCTCAGGGCTGGGCGGGAGGAGGTGGAGGACTGGCTCAGGGCTGCAGGCAGGAGTGAGAGGGGTGGGGGTGGGGGGTGGAATGCAGATTGACAGTAGGGAGTGACTCCATAGGACAGATTGTGCTCTCACCTCTCCTTGTACCCCAGCAGGGCTCAGGGCAGGGTGAGGGCTGGGGAGGGCACAGGTGCTGTGGGGCTGAGGAGGGAGGAGCAGAGGAGCTTCCAGAGGGCCTCCAGGAGGTGGGTGGAAGGGGCTGGCAGGGTCTCCAGCTGGCCTCCGCTTTCACCCCAGTGTCTCCCTAGACCAAGGAAGGAGGGATGCGATTCTGCCAGCTCCAACTGACATGCTCCAACTCCCTCTGTGGCTCCCCAGCCTCTCTTCCCTCACAGGGAGTTTTCCTCGAACGCATGGCAGGACTGGGTCAGCCCACGGGCAGATACACCGCTGTGGCATGGGGACTCTCTTCCTCCACAACCCAAAATCAGCTTCACTTAAAGGAAACAGGAAGGGTCTAAAGTTTTACATTTTATCAAAATAAAAAGTTACAAAAACTTTTTTAAAAACTCTTTTTTCTTAACGTTTTCAATCACGATTTGGCGTGATTCCCAGAATTCCGAATAACTTTCTGAATCACATTCCCTTGTAAAATAACCTAGGAGGTTGGCTCGCCAAAAAGACTTCATCAAAATTCAAGAAAGCAAATTTAAGTTTTCCTTGAAAATGAAGTTTCAGGAGTGAATTTTAACCAAACCAATGCAGAATTGGTTTAATATACCAAGAGATGTACACAGTGCCCAGAAAGTTGGCTTCCCCAAGGTCCAGACAACACTCGTGAACCCACTCAGCCATCTCCAAAGTCCAGGGCGGGGCAGCAGGTGTGGCAGTGACCAGGAAGTAGTGTCCTGGGGTCAGCCATCTCCTTCCCCAGAGCACTCGCCTCCCCCAGAGCTGCTCTGTGCACAGGAGGCGCGACACCGGGGATGATATGAGCATTTCAGAATTTAAAACTATTCACTCGCCAGATCTAGGTCAACAAGGAATTCTTTTTTACTCCCTTCTAAATGATAATGTTAAACATAAAAGTTTTTGTTTCTCTAGAAGTTTCTATTTAACTTTGCTACTTAGTGGGGTTGGCTTAGGGATCCCTAATTCTTGCTCTCTGGCTTTCCATGGCTCTAGCGGGGTGTAAAGAACACACAGTTTGTTTATTCTCCAAAGTATCTAATAAAATTCATCACAAGTCACTATTTTATTTTAGAGCTCAGAATGTAAAAACAAACAGATATCTTTGGCCATTTGCTTTTAGTATTAGCTTAACACTTTATTATTGTCTTGTTTTTCCTCTAAATTTTCCTTTCCTCATTTAGAGAAGACATAATGTGGATGGTAGTAAATATTGTGTCAGTTCCCAGGTTTAGCTGATAGATGTTTAGGATTGACTGGAATAGTGAGAGAGTTGGGGCATATTGGAACAGAGCTCTCGGCTATCCTACATTCTTCCAAATATAGATCCCGTGGGTGTGGTGGGGGAGGTGGAGAGAGAGGGTGGAGCAAGAAATAGTGTGGATTACAGAGTAGTGAAATAGTTGGGAAGAGAGGAGGGTCTTCTCTCTGGGACAGACAGACTTGGCAGGACAAAGCTTAAAACTACGCAAAGGATCAGTTTGCAAGAATGTGTCCAGGTCACGCCACGCTGCTGATACATACGCCTCTCTCTGTGCCCCAACTGAGAAATCACAGCAAGTCTTACTTAGTGTCTCTTATACAGGGATGTGATCCACCGAGAGAGAGTAGAACTCATGTGTATTATCAGGATTAGGGCAGATTTAAGGGTAAAATTCTTGTATAACTGGAAAGCCTTGTGGAAGGAAAATGTTGTCATCTGGCTTTTAAATATTTACCTTATTCACATCCAACTGAGCTATAAAGGAAGACATTATAAGAGTACATGCTTAGTAACAGAAATGAGGTCAAGTGATAAAGTAGTACTTCTGAGGTTTCAAATATGCTGGGATCATTTAGAATTCTATGCACGGTTAAAGAAATTTAGCTTTGTCCCTTCCTTAGGAGAGATTTCAGTCCATTGTCACTGCATGCAGCCTTGAGTGGCCTGAATAAAAGATGAGGACAAGCTCAGACCTCAAAGTGACTGTGATCCAGTCTTGTTACCACATACAGCTCCTAAGATGAAAGGACGGGAATAAAGTGAAATCTCATTCTGGCACAGCCCTGAGGCATTCAGGGAAGAAGAGAATAGTGTTGAAGCCTGATCCTGAGACAAACGGCTCATTGAGACAGAGCCCGTGTACTGTTTAAATGCTCCATTTTCTTCTCTGAGCCTTTGTATTATTGAACATCAAGACTCTGGCACTGCTGGAGGAAAGGAGTGAGCTGACTTGAGAATGCCGATGAGCTGTCGATGCACAACTGGGAGATACAACATTTATATGCAGCTGGCAAAATTGGGAAGGAGTAAAAATATAGAATTTTTTTTAAATTTTAATTTTGAAGTGATAAAACATACACTGACTTTGGCAAAAGTTATTTTTCTTTAAACTTAAAAGTATATGAAGACATATTCCATGTTCATGGATAGGAAGACTCAATGTTATTAAGATGTCAGTTCTTTCCAACTTGATCTATAAATTCAGTGTAATCTCAATCAAAATTCCAGGAAGATATTTTATAGATATTGACAAATTGATACCAAAGTTTATGTGGAGAGACAAAAGATCCAGAATAGCCTACACAATATTGAAGGGGAAGAACAAAGTTGGAGGAGTGACACTAGCCAACTTCCAGACCTACCATGAAGCTACAGTAGTCAAGTCAGTGTGGGACTAGTGCAAGAACAGAAAAACAGATCAATGGAACAGAATAGAGAGGCCAGAAATAGACCCACATAAATATAGTGGGTCTTAGATAAAGGAAGAAAGGCTATATAATGGGGAAAAGACAGTATGGTGTCAACAAATGGTGATGTACAGCACACAAAAAAAGAATCTAGACAAAATCTTACAACATTTGCAAAAATTAACTCAACATGGTTCACAAAGATCTAAATGTAAAATGGAAAACTATAAAACTCCTAGAAGATAACATAGGATAGAACCTAGATAACCTTGGGTTTGGTGATTAGTTTTTAGGTATAACACCAAAGGCAAGATCTGTGAAAGAAATAATTGATCAGCTTAACTTCACTGAAATTAAAAACTTCTGCTCTGTGAAAGATACTGTCAAAAGAATGAGAAAACAAACCACAGATCAGGAGAAATTATTTGCGAAAGACGTATCTCGTAAAGGACTGTTATCCAAAATATTCAAAGAACTCTTAGAGCTCAATAATAAGAAAACAAATGACCAGATTAACAAATGGGCACAACATCTAGAAAGATACTTCACCAAGATACATAGATGGAAAATAAGTGTATGAAAATATGCTAAACGTTCTATTTGACAATTAGGATTTACAAATCCATTAGGGATTTGCAACTTAAAACAAAGAGATGCCACTGCATATGTATTAGAATGCAAAAATGCAAACACTGACCACGCTAAATGCTGGCAGGGATGTGGAGCAACGGGGACTCTCATTCACTATTGCTGGGTGTGCAAAATGGTACAGCCACTCTGGAAGACAGTTTGGACGTTTCTTACAAAACTAAACATATCTAACCATGTGATCGAGCACTCATACTTGTTGACACTCAATGAGTTGAAAACTTAAGTCCAAAGACCCGCACGTGGATGTTTACAGCAGCTCTACTCATAACTGCCCAAACGAGGCGATCACGATATCCTTCAGGAAGTGAATGGATAAATAAACTATGGCACATCCAGACAGTGGAATATTATTTGGCACTAGATGGAAAGAAGCTATCAAGCTATGAAAAGGCCTAGAGGAACTTTAACTGCATATCTCTAAGCAAAAGACACCAATCTGAAAAGGCTACATCCTGTCTGATTCCAACTCCAGGGCACTCTGGAGAAGGTGAAACCATGGAGACAGCAGAGAGAGGCTGCGAGGCCAGGCGGCAGGGAGAGGGCGGCAGAGGGAGAGGGCGGCAGAGGGAGAGGGCGGCAGAGGGAGAGGGCAGCAGAGGGAGAGGGCAGAGGACTCTGGGGCCGTGAAGCTATTCTGTGTGATACTACAACGGTGGATACGAGCCTTACGTTTGTTAAAACTGAGAGACTGGACAGCACCAAGAGCGGACCTTGATGAAAACTACAGGTGTGGGCGATGTGTTGGTGCAGGTCCATCAGCTGCAGCAAATACCTGCCTGGCGGGCGTCGCTATCGGGGAGCCCGCGGGGGCAGGGCAGGGTTCACAGAGACTTCGTACTTTCTGCTCAATTTAGCTGTGGACCTGAAACTGCTCTAAAAAATAAAATAAAATAAATATATAGCTGTCCCTTGGTAGCTTTGAGGGATTGGTTCCAGGACCCCACGCCCGCCCGCAGATGCTCAAGTCCCTGACACTCGGCAGTGACGTGGCACCTGCATGTGACCCACGGCTCCCGCAGACTTCGGTCCTCTCTTTGTTGCATGCTACCTGCACACTGTGAGCGCTGAGTAAATAGTTTTTACACTGCATTGCTTTTTTAAAATTTGTATTATTTCTGTGTTGTAGTGTTATTTTTTAATTGTTTTGGTTTTCTTTTTTTCAAATAAATTTAGGTCCCTAGTTGGTTGAATCCTCGGATACAGAACTGGCAGTTATGAAGGGCCATTTGTATATACTCAAAGACTTCAATAATATATCTTTTCCTTTAAAACTTAATATTAACTAATTTAAAACCAGCAGCAACTCGTTTCTCCCATCCGTGATGGGACAGCCTCTTTCTCGGGGTGGACTCGGGCTGGCGTGTGTGGCCTGGGCTCTCAAACCAGCCCGTCGAAGGTCGAGGACAGGAACCGAGGACAGCGAGCAGAAGGGGCAGGGAGTTTCCACTTGGGGGGAGGTGAGATGGGGACAGGAGGTGCCAGACACCTCTCTGTCAGCTCTGCATGTGAAGCCCTGAGCCTCTCCCACGACCTGACAAAGGGACAGAGGCCCCACAGAGGGAGAAGGGGACCCGAGAGTCATAGAAAAGTGGATGCAGCCACTTGGCGAGAGGTTCTTGACATCACGAACATTCCAAGGGGAATGAAAAACACTGCTCACCTTTTCAGCTCTAAAATGATCATACCTCATTCACCCACAAGTCCCTCAGCCCGGCAGGGCTCCCTCTGGGGTGGGGTTCAGCTGCGGTGCAGTGAGGATGGGGGAGGGCAGGGGCCCGTGTGTCTCATTTTAATAGGGCCATTGGGACCGGCTCACGTTGGATGGCCTTTGCTGGAGAATAGACACTCTGGTGCGTTTCTCAGGCTCCTGGCTGGACTAGGATGTAAGCTTGGAGACTGAAACTTTCCTCTCAACAAGTTTCATGACTATGGGGTGAATGAACACCATCAGGTCTGCCTGCAAGTCTGGGCTGGGGACGCAGTGTGTGTGACTGACCCTACAGATATGAAGAACTGATAAATATGCGCACACATACACATGCACACACGCACACACACAGACACACACACACACACTCTCTCTCTTCCCCTCTGCCTCCCAAGGAAACACAGCAAAGGAGTTACTTCCCCAAATGAAACAGAATTTCTTCCCTATGGCTCAGAAATTACAGTGAGGCTTACTGGGCATTTCCTCACCTGATTAACAGATACAAAAGACAGGTGTTTATGGGCAGCAGGTATAACAGGAGAATAAGTAGAAGCATATACAGGTTCCTACAGAGCAAAGCAAGAGGATTAAAGGTGAGAAGAGGTTTATCTGAGCGGGACAGGGCAGGGTTAGGGGATGGAGGAGAGACAAAACCATGATTTTTCTAATAGAATGTTAATTGACTCATTGCAATTTCAGTTCTCTTTTCAAGAAAGTTTTTCCTTGAATGCTAATGCTAAAATAAATCCATGCAAGCACAGTAAATATTCCCGAGTCAGTTTTATGCAGTCATTAAATGAGTTATTATAATTCATATAAGGTGGTCGGTTACAGAGAGGGGAACCATGACTTCTTTGACAGTTTTAAATATTTTAACATAAAATGTCATCTTCTTTAAAGCATTTTAATTACATGATAAAAAAAAATTTAAGGACACAGGATCAGCTCTCCATCCTGGACAAAGGCTGTACCTTGCGTATAAATAAGAAAACCCAAACCCAGCAGGGAGTGCGCACAACACAAGGGAGTCTCACGCGGCGAGGCGCAGCTCTGGCTACAATCTAGAGGATGCTTGTGTTAGAGTCAGGCTTACCCAGAGCAGATTAGAAATGGCATTATCATCTGTAAATCCTCCTTCTTCCTACAGGTTAAAACAAACAGGAAACATTGCAGAGTATTGGAAGAAAAGAGCCTCATTAGGGCATTGCAATGATTTTCAAGCATTTTGTGCCTGGGTTCCATTACATGCATGCACATGCTTGCACGCGGCGTGGCACACGCGGCGCGGCACACTCATCAAGCAACCTCCTCCCCTGCGCAACACGGCGACCCGTGATGAGGGGTCACCGTCAGCCTTTCTCTCCCTCCAACCTCACCGTTTACAGTGACTTCCTTCTCCTGACTTGCAATTTGGAATTTCCCCTTCAGAGAAAATTAGAACGCAAATGTGGCAGATTCACCTACCCTGAATTTTCTGGGGATGACATAGATCTTAGCTGGATTGACTGAGCTCATAACTTAAGAAGCACAGTAGGGTACCAAATCCCTGTCTGGAACTCAAATAGATGTGGGGTTTTCATGGGCAACTCTGTAAAGGATTTTCATTTCCTGGAAAAAGTCTGAGACACTGAATAATTACCTTCACAAAAAACTTGGGAGTTACCATGTATGTGCCCACGTAGAATAGGCCCAACCAGGTTTGGGATTAAAAGAATTATTCAGTGAGAATAAATACAGAACTGCAATTTAGTTGTAATGGAGTCTCTTAGACAAGACTCCTGCCAAGTCACTTCTTTGCCTTTGCTTCATTTCGTTTCTCCTCCCTCCCTCCCTCTGATGGAAGGAGTCGCTCTGGAGGAAACTGAGGCAGGCCATGCCAGTGCATGCCGCGCTGCAGCTGCACCGCGCCTGCAAAATGGCTCACCGTCTCCAGAGGTAATTGCATATGCTGCGAGAAGCAAAAATGTTCAAGTTGGGTTAGCACTGACCTAGACTAAACCAACAACGGAAGAAAGATAAGAAAGGTGGCGGGGGGCAGGGAGGAGACAGAGACAGAGATGGAGAGAGAAAGAGAGAGAGAGGGAAGAAAGGAGAGAAGAGAGAGAAAGCACCTAAACAATTTTGGGTAGGAAACGCCAGAGCCAGCTAGGTAAATAATTAGTGCTCTTAAGCCCCAAATCATCAATAAAATTGGAAAGTGGGTAGCTGCCCCTTAGTTTCCCATTTCCAGAGACGTGTCTTTTGGAACAAAAAGGAAACTCTAGCTTAGTTTCCCTCCAGCTATTCCTGGGCCGAAAGGCAATCGCACCATGCAGGACCCCAGGTGAAGTCTTCCTTTGGGGACCAACCTTTTGACAGAAACAAAACAATTATAGACTTTCAAGGCAACCTTTCACTCTCACAGGGCAGTGCTGGCTCCCAGGCTGCATGGGTTTCGCGGGAGCCACAGAAGGGCCCACAGGAGCCTCCAGAGTCCCTGCCTCTTCTGCGTTTCCACAGGTTGCAACTCCTGGGACCAGGGTCACCACATACAAGGGGACTTAGGGACTGTGGAGCAGTGAACTGACCATAAAGCCAGCTTCTTTCCGCCCTAGCTGGTAAAGATGGAAAGCTCAGCACCCGCTGTCCCGGGCGCCTGCCTTCAGCAAGCCGCGCAGCCCTGCGCCACCAGCCCCCGCGGCCACACGTGTCCGAGTGTCTTCCCCGCGGCCGCATGCGGACACTTGGCAAGCAGTGACGATTTGCCGAGCGCTCCTCAGCTGTCGGGGCTGCCCCGAGACAGACCGGGCTCGAGGCACCTCACCCACCGCACTGGGCACAGCGAAGGGGTCACAGTGCACAGCCAGCGCGGAAAGGAGCGAACCAAGGGGCTGTCAGAGGCCGACTGAAAACCACCTGACCTCAACAGAACTTGAGATTTCCCAATGTCATTACAAAGGCCCAAAATAGATCGGCTTATTTTAACTTCAAAGAGCTTATTGTCTCAGGCCAAAGTGAACTAGGCCGCTGCGGAGAGGCGGAGTCTCCGAGCTGCGGCGGCAGAGTCCAGGGAGTCCACCGCCCAGAGGCAGCACCTCACGCTCCAGCCCAAATCCTGCTTAGAGCCCCAGGGCTTCCGGTCACTGGGCTTTCTGCCCCAAGGGTACCTGCAGTAATCGGGCATCTCTTGCCTTCTAAAAATCTTAGCCTGCTGGGTGTGGTGGTTCATGCACTTTGGGAGGCTGAGGTAGGAGGATCCCTTGAGCCCAGGAGTTCAAGATCAGCCTGAGCAACATGGCAAGACCCCATCTCTACAAAAAATAAAAAAACTTAGCGGGCATGGTGTGTGCACTTATAGTCCCAGGAGTTACTTGGAAGGCTGAGACAGGAGGATCGCTTAAGCCCAGGAGTTGGAGGCTGCAGTGAGCTATGATCGCACCACTGCCCTCCAGCCTGGGCGACAGAGCGAGACCCTGTCTTAACACCCTGTCTCAACAAACAAACAACAAACACACAAACACAAATCTTAGCCATGTGCTCAGGAAGTTCAGGTCTCATCCTCTACCCAAAGGCTTCCAGTTCTTACTGCCTCAGATCCTCCCTCACTCTCCTAAGCAGGCTGCGCACCCGTTTCACTATTTACAAGGACTATAGCTTCCTTTCTTTGTGCTCTTTGGCTTCATTTTAGTTTCCACCTGGCTCCAAGGGACTTCTAGCTCCCGAAGGGCCAGGGAGTCTTCGTAGCATCCAAAGAGTCCAGCAAGGCATCGAGTGCTGCGTGTGGCCCTGACATGTTAGTTGAAAGGTCACTGCTAATAAGGTGTGTGCTAAAGGCATGTCTGAACCAATGATTTCAGTATTCTTTTGGATAAAATTTGTGGGCAATGCAGATAGATTATTTGAAGGACCCAGTTTTCTTTCACTTTGGGATCTCATTCTTGACATCTAAATTTCACATGGTGCATGAAAAAAGTATGCACCTGTGGATAGTTTTAAAATATCTAGTTATATCTGAGAACTTTACAAATAGCTAAGGATTAAATGTCTTCAATTATTATCTTTAACACCATGTGTGTCTCAAAAAGGAGAGTTCAAATTGCCATTGCAATGTAACCCATGAAGACACAGATGTATCACATAAAGCAGTGCAGTGAATCCTGACCATGGTTCTGTGTGCACATCTCACTTTTATTTAAGTTTCCTAATGCATAAAAAGTTACATTCATAATTTCTATCTTCCACAGAAGTTTGACTTATTTAGAACTAGAAGGGGTCCAGGTGATCATCCAATTGGAAGCAGTTCTTTCTTTTCTATTTGAAGACTTTTGATGCTAGAAATTGGTGTCATCAGTGTGTCATTTTTACCCCCAGCTAGAGTGTGTGCATTTGCAAATTGTTAGGCCAATCAGCAGGTAAGTCACCATTAGTTTTCAAGGTGTACACTACCTGGTCAAAACTACACCATTACATTTGTAATTTAACAACTCATCTGCGCATATGCATTTAACAACTTATCTCTGCATATGAAATGCTTGCTAGTGTAGACCACCATGCGTTACTTAACTTCATTTAAACTTATAACATAAACTGCTGTACATTCTCAATAAAAGGCACACTTACTCATTGTGAAACATGCTTAAAATTGTGAACTAAGTATTCATGGGCCACAGTTATGTCCTTATTTTGTATATTTACATTTATAAATCTCCAAGTAGGAAATTCAAGTCCATATTTCATATGCAAACTATAAACTGTTAGCAGTGGATTAAATGTTTTCATTATAAAGGCTTTAATAACATTCTAAAGCCAGGCCTCATTTAGGTTTTAAACTGAAGAAAAAGTGCACACTTTAAAATCGGGGCATTGCTTGTGTGCCAGGCTGGACCCGGCCCGGCCAATCGCAGTGGCCAGGCAGCGTGCAGCCCACGGCAAGACGCGCCGGTGTCGCCGAGCAGGAGCCAGCTAAGTCACACATGCTCATCTCCGGGGCACTTGCTAGCGTGAGGTTATGCCAGGGCCTTTCCCCGGCGGAGAACGTTACCTTCTTGGTGAGCGACTGCCCCGCTTCCTGGGCGAGCAGGCTGCTGGTGGCGGCCGCCTTGCCCCACTCCTGCTTCCTGTTGAGTCTGCTCCTCCAGTCTTCCTCTCCGCTCTTCTTCAGCAGCGCCAGTCTAGGAGGAGACACGCCGGCCAAAGGCAGGTCAGGACCAGCTCTAACTTGCAGCGGAACCATAATTAGGCACGTGGGACGTCTTTGGCCAATAAATGACCACAGGGACCTCATTTTAACTTCTGGAATTTCATTTATTCTGAAGACAACATGTGTGGAAAAATAATACAGTCCCTTCTCTAAGGTGGCCCCAAAGATTCTACAGCTGATTGAAACACAAAGCTGAAGTCTGAGTTGCCAGATGAAAGAGGCACCACCTCTGTCTGCTGAACAGACAGCTTGTTTCCTGCGCCCTTGGGCTGGGAGCAAGGAAGTGACAAAGGTAACCATCCCCAGAGAACCATGTCTTCTAGCGACCCCTTCTGGTCACCCGGTGAAATAACACTAAAGGATAATGCTGTGTAGTAGTTATTTGCAGAAAATACTGAGGAAATGGGCTTAAAAACATAAAGCTACAAAGCATTTATAGTCTCTTAATATCAATCCCTTTCAATTAAGGGTAAAATTATATTCTTATGACTGTTTCTCTTCCTGTATTCTTAGCCCTGCTCTTTTCCTATAGATGAACTTTGTCTTTCCAATCCATCTTCTTAAGACAGAAACTATTTTGTACAAACCCATTTTTAAAAAAATCATTACTTCAACTTTCCTCAGGGGGCGGAAATATATATATATACACACACATACATATATATATATATATAAAGAATCTAATTAAGGAGATTGTTACCTAACCTACTTTAGTTCATCCACAGGGTGACTTGATACAAGGTTGCTTGGATATTGTGATGCATGAAAGGTTGTTTTTTATGAATATGAGGCTGTTTCAGCTAACTATATTATAATGAATGAGAAAGTCTCAGGCGTTTAAAGTTGGACAAACAAACATGGGAAAGATAAGGCAAAACAGGCAAAACAAGTGGTGATCATTAAATTCATTTGAGCTGATGCTCAAATAACTGAAAAATTAGGGAAAAAAGAGACTGGACCCCATGTGGTTTGTGTCAGATCTGACAGACCCAGCCAGGTCTTGCCAGTATCACTGATAATTCGTAATGTGTGTTTTTAAGCACCACGTTAGCTCTGGTCACAGTTTGGCCATGAACTCCCTCTGAGTACCTTCGTACTCATTTGTCATATCAGGAACTGGACCAGATGGTAAGGGCTCTTCCTCTAAGTTTCCTTATTCCATTAAATATGTGACTGGAGATGGGATGAAATATACCATATGGTAAAAGTTTCGTTAAGCAAATAAGAAAATAAATTTTATAGTATTTAATCAAGAATCCATTTACATCTACAAATTTGTACATAATCATACCATATACTTGTCTATTCGTTCAGTCAAAAAATGGAAAGTAAGCCATGAATAAAAGGACTCGCCAAAGGAGGTGGGAGCTTGGAACTCTGGACCTAGCCCCTTTCCCAATCTCTTTCTTCCCTTCCCTTCCTTTCTATTCTTTCTGCTATTTGGCATAAGAAAAGATCTCAAGTGCTGGCCATCCCATTTGGCTCAAGGTCCTATTTTGCCTTAAATTCTATAATTCTACGATGTTGAACAGCACTCTGTATGTGGCAAGTATTGCGTATGCGATCGCAAAACCTAAATTCCTTTCAGTGCTTCACTCTGCAGCATTTCATGCTGTATAATGACTAAGAGCCAGCTTTTCTCCAATTATTTTGAATGAGTCAGTTTTATTCCAGTAAGAGAAAGGAATCTGACAAAACGGAATCATTAAAATAAATACTTAGGATTTGCATGCTGCATTAGAGCTACCAAAGGTTTCAAAGCATCAATAAAGGAGACTGTCCATATCGGCACTTTAATATCCAAATAAAGAAGTACTTCCAATCTCATCTCATTGATACTTGCCTTGCAAACAGGCCTCAGAACCAGCTTGTCTTTCCCTTCATCTCTACAACCACTACAGACCGGTAGAAGTTCCTCACCTTGCCCCTCCACCTTGTTAATGCAATTGGATTCCAAATGACTTAAGAGAATTAAAAAAAAATCAAATTCATCCTCATGATTTGTTTATTACAAATAATGAGATACAGTCTGTGACGATCTTCTCGAAAAGAAGCTCCCAAAGTCTGGAGCAGTGAGCGCATCTCCTGAATAACTGTATGGTCCCCTGGTGGCTGCTTTGAGGAATCTAAAACTGACTCGGAGCAAAACAAACGGCAGGGTCTGTGTCGCCGCACAGTCCGCCTTGCGCCTGCAGGTCCGCACGGCAGCCTAAGGAACTGGACGCCGCCACCCCCATCCTGACAGACAAGGGACACATGCAGGTCAGAGGTTTCGCCGACTGAGGTCACACTGCGCGTCGGGGCAGAGAGAAGCGAGAGAAGCGAGGCGAGCCGGCCTCCCGCCACGAGTGTTCCCGCGGGGCGAGGGTGCCGCCCTCTGTCGGGCAGCAGCCAGCGCCTGCCTCTCCCCTCTCCCGGCGGGGGCGCCTCCAGACAGCTCCTCCGCTGCACAGCCAGGAGCTGCGCTTCCAGATGCGTTGGCAGGGGCATCGTTCTGGACTTCCAAAGACCACAGAGTACCAAAATAACATGGAAGAAACTGTGCTTCCATCGAGCCCACATGGTCCGTGGACCCAGCCCTAGCTGACAGAGTACACGTGATGAATAACTTTAAAATAACACACACCGAAACCTAAGCGTGTTATTCCTGTCCCATTCGGTTTCCTGCTGGTGTTCGAGAAGCAAGGAAAGCAGACCTTTCCAAAGGCGTTTGCTCCTCCTGCGACTCCACGGCCCTCCAGCTCGCCGCAGACCACCCGCTCTGAGGCTCCGCGAGGGTCAGACGCTGAGCGTCTGGCCCTGCCCAGGGCACGGGCTCCTGCCTGTGCAGTTCAGCGGCTGTCGGCGCTCGGGGAAGGCTGCGGTGCGGATCCTGGGCGCCTGCTTAGTGCCAGGCTGCGCGCCCAGGGAGGGGCACGCCAGCCTGTTCGCCCGAGGCCTGGCCTAGAGCCACCAGGAAAAGGCTGGCCGGGAATTCTTCCCTGCGACCTCTGCTTAGTGACAACAAGGACTTCAGGCCCATAGCAGTCAGGACTGGGTCAAATACAGGACAGGCCAACCAAGTGCCCCTAATATTAAATAAAGTGGTTTTTTGTTTGTTTTTTGACTCACTCTCTGTTTAGACACCTTCTCTCATTTCAGAGAGTCAGAGACACCCCACAGATTTCAGACAGGCTGAACCGCGGTGCTGCGCGCACACCAGATCTTGGTCCCGGCTAGTCCGCAGGCTGGAGGGTGGATGAGGTGTCTTGCAAATGGGGGCAAATGGAAGATCAGAAAAGGAGGGAGCAAAAGGGAGAGCTCCGTCCCTACCCTCGCACAAACCTGGGGCCCGCTAGCGCTGAGACTGCCAGCTACAAGGACACATCCCGGCGGGCGGAGCACCGGAGGGAGGAGGGACGGGCATGCAGGGACCTCGGTGGCCCCGGGGCAGAATCCCGTAGGCAGGGGGAGGCGGGAGGTGGGTTCCGGGAGTCCCGCCTAGTTCTCACACTCCACCAATTTCCCCAAGTGAAAGAATTGCTCTTTTCCCTTTTTCAGAAGTCTTCTCCCCGAAACATGAACGCTCTGAAGCTGCTGCGTCAGCAGCTGTGGAAATGAGGCTCCTAAGTCCTGATGTGCTTTTAAACAAGTGTCGACAGTTTCATCCTCAAATAACGTAGGGGACGGTGTGAACACAAATCCTTTAGTCAGTTACGACACAGCAGTTTTACTATCCAGTCGAAAAGGGCAAATTGAATCCTAAGTTTCATGCTGTCTACAGCTTAAACTTGACATTCTAGATGTCAGAGAAGACAAAAAAAGAAAAATAACTTCTAGATACGTTTTCTTAAGCATCAAACATATTCTAAAATAGGAGTACGTGGAGAATTTCCTGTAATTTCTTAGTTCTACACTTTTTTATCTACCTTTTTTTTGCCTATAATATTGCCTCCTCCTATGGGCTGTCCTCAGCACCAAATGAAAGACCACACTTGACATGCCAGAGGCATACTTGACACTTGGGGACACTCAGTGGAGAGACTGATGCCACAAGGTTTGCACTCCTTAGGGGGCAGCACTTAGCAGAAATGGTAAAGGAATATGTAACCTCCAGGCTCTATTTCTTAAAATCTGAAATTTGGAATTGAAAGGAGGATTGAAACAAGAAATGTAAAGAACACGGAAATTCAGAACATTAATAAAGAAGACAGGTGAATCTAACACTGTTGTCTAGCTAGAATGTCTGTCCTTATTCTCCTGCTATGACAGTCATCTGAATACATAGCAATGTCACCATGGGGACGGGTAGCCAGAGACCAGCCCTGGGTTGGCTCTACTCACTACGTGGCCCTGGGGACTCCTTTGGTAAAATGAGGCAGTCAGAGTAAGTTTGGAAGTCCCATGATTTTATATCTCACCTCAAGAAAGAAAAGTAAAGCCAAATCAGTATATAAATAACATTCTTATTTTAAATAGGTCAAGCTTCATTATTTCATTTTAACAAAAGAGAGAAATTAAAACCCCACTTAGGAGAAAAGCTATCACAGATGGATTGCAAAAATACATCGTTGAGTTATTTTCAGCAAAGTACAAGTAAGAATACTGTCAAGGTCAAGGGAAAGATCGCTGGCAATATATTTGTGTTAGAACAATTTATTACTAACACAGCTGCTAAATAAAGCATCCATGGTCCTTTCTTATATTTTCACAACTAAACCGAGTAGCTGAATATTAGCAAGCATTCACACTATCATGACTCTGAGCAGACTGGGGTCAAGAACCTCTCTGAGACCGTTCTAAGTCACAGCTTCTGCTCGCCCACATGTGCACGTGTGCACACGTCCAGTTTGGAGTGTCCTTCCAGGCAGCTCATGGAAACCCTGCCGCCACTCCTGAACTCCTCAGATGTCCACAGACCCATGGGAAGAGGCTGCCCCTTTATAGCACCTCACAGTTTGAAAAATGAGAATTTTATAGTAGGATTAAAATTAAAACTGCTTTCAGAAAGATACAGATCAACTAAAATTTACTAAAAACAGGCAAGTAAACCAAGAATTATTGCATTGTAGATAGGCACAGAACGTCATCAAAAGTCCTAAGTCCCAACAGACAGAATACACGCAAAGATGGGGAGTTTCTTTTTAAAGACTTTGAAAACAGTGAGTATAATATTACTATTTACCACTGAGATTTTACCCAGGAATATATTCTGATGTATAAAACATCAGAACTCATGTATAAGTGATATTTATCATTAATTTCCTTAAATGATGCCTCTTCCTCACCTAACCTGTTATCAATGCTTGGATCTCTGGGATCAAATGCTCTCTGGGCCCAGGTTTCCTGAGGGACTTCAGGCCCAACAGGCCAAACTGCTTCCCTGATTGAAGATGTCACTCCTTTTATCTAACCGGAACCCTTTCCCTGGCCCCCTCCTCGCAGTAGGTCTAATTTATCATGAATTTTAAGTAAAGGAGAAAATAAATAAGATTTAAGAATCTTATCAATTTTTCAGTTGAAAAAGGCTCCATCTATTTAACACTTGATAAATAATGTTCAAAGATCTTGGCTTGAAGAACAGAAAGAATTTTCACTGTGGTTTGATATATTGTCTTGGGCAGTTTGAAATGTATCTAGAAAAACAGGAGCAGTCAGTGCCTGACTGAGCAAGGACACGCCTGGGTGGCGGGAACGGTTCTGCTGATAGGCCTGGAGTGGCCGCGACTTCTTCCCTGAGCTTTCCTATCACTGCCGCAGGTTTGTCGCTTGAGCCAGCTGTGGCTAAGGGTTAACAAGGCAAACACAGCCTGAGAATAATTTAGTTCCGATTCTCTGCCTCCGTCCCATTTAAATACACCCTTTTAGTCCTACACCATTCTTTTGAACGAAATGAGGTTACGTGTTATTTGACACTCAAATGTAATCTTTCATAGCTATTACCTGGTATAAAATTTCTAACTGGAGCTCAGAAAACACGTGCATTTTACTTTCTGTAAAGTGAACAAAACTTGGACTCTAATCCCAGATATGTCCACCTACGCATAAACGCATCTTCACTCCCGCTGCGTACGTGCCACACGGAGCCACACGCGCCGTGCACGCCACGCCGTCTGCACTGCGCCGTCTGAAGGGAGGCCGTCGGGCCTCTGCTCCCGTCGCAGACGGCCAAGGAACTGAGCGTGAACTAGCAATCGGGACCACGCAGCGAAACAGAGGAAGGCAGCAAAGTCTGTTTCTGTTTGTTTCCTCACCCGAGTCTGAAGTGGCCTTTCAGTATTGCCAGGCCAGCGCGGGGCAGACGCGGTTTGCTCTCGCACACTTGGGCGTCCCCGGATTATTCTGGTGTAACAGCACATCCCCTTACGTAGGTGAAGCCGTGCCTTCATCTCTCTGCCCATCACCCCGATCTTTCCTAAAAGCAAGTTGTAAGCTCCTCCCCCACGGAATTACTTTTCCGTCGGCATATCTCATTACCTTTCTTTAATGGACATGGTTTTGCTGGGGGAATCAAGGATGCTCTCCCCCGTTGGAGTTTTGATCTCTCCAGCAGCAAACATCTCGCAGGGACTCCTGTAGTGCTTCTCCTGCAGTTGTTCTGGAGAACCCTCCTGCTTCCAGGACACGGGGGTGGCGGTCTGAGCGGCTGTTTTCCCAGTAGCTGTCCCCTTCTGCTCGGAACTGGGATCCCTGAACTCTGCCACGGGAAGGAGAGGTGCAACATCAGCACTTACTCCCCGGGCAAGCACCCTCCCAGCTATTCCTCCCACGGCGCTGCAGCACTTGGGAGTTCAGCCCATGGGCACGCGGTGGGTCACCCAGCCCACTCGGGGTGCAGATTTTATGCAAATCTGCAGCATGCTATGCTCTGCGGGAAAACCACACTGCCCAGCAGATTGCCCCACACAGCGAAACGCTGCGTGACAATCGGCCTGTCTCCTACGTGCGAGACACAGGAAGTCAGCTTTAACTACTCGCTACATGCAGAATGCTCCCACTTCTCCAAAGTAACACTTTTAACATCTCAAATGTGCCATATTCACAAGCCCAAACCCCTATTATAACATACACAGTATCATCTATGCAAAGGTAGAAAGAGGATTAAAGTCCCATGCAGTATAGCTGCTGCCTGCAAAACAGAATGTGAAGGAAAGAGTCTCCAAACCCACAAACTAGGTTCACGTCCTTATTTCCTGTGCGCACCCAGGCCTGGACCTTTTGGTCATCAACTTTAAAAGGAACCAAAAGAACCAAGCAGCTCACAAGGCTGTCGTGCGAGGTGATGTGACCAAGTCATCAGAAACCCTTATCGAGGCGTGGGAAAGGGCTTCAGGTACTGCTATTGCTGAAAATTCGATTCACTCACTGGAAATGCCTGGCTCAGGAGGAAGAGAAGTCTGGGGAAAGAGTATAATTTACACTGCACCTTCCACCAATCCTAATTGTAAACTGCCTTTGTAAGTTAGTTAAAAGCAATCACAAACGCATGCAGCAAGTCAAGCAGAAACTAAAAACCCAATTGCTTTCTAACACTTTAGGAGCGGTAGCAGTTTACCTCTTAGAGAAAACTTCCTTTTCATGACATTCTCCACATCCACCTTCTCTTCAAAGGGCTGCCTGTCCTTCAAGTCCGAGTTCCCCTGTGCATGAGTTTTCACAGTGGAAAACCCCTCCAGCTCGGCACCAAAGTGGGCGCTGGGAGGACAAGCCAGCTCCAGGCTCCCTGTCCTTAGAACAGCACATCTAGGCTCCTTGTGGCCATCTCCTTCCCTGCCCCTGCTACAGACGGGGCGAGTTGGCTCTGCCTCCTCCAAGGACTCACACTTCTTCACACCACTGTCCCCACCTGCCAAGGCTCTCTTGCTTTCTGTCTCTCCAAATTCTCTCAACATCCCTTTGTTTCCACTATCCTCTACCAAAGGCTGCCAAACTTGTGATTTCAGAATGCTTCTAACTGGAGAGTCTGAATGTTCTAGTGAAGAAGGAAACTTGTAGTCAGTGGCACTCGTATTGTCATCCAGAGGTGTCTTTGTCCGAAGATCCCCTGCATACATTGGAGCGACCACAGATGCCACGGTGGACACGGATGTGTTAACGGTAGGTGAGAAAGGAATGAGCTTCCCACTTTGCACCTGGGAGGGACAGAGTTAAAAAGCAAAAAGGCGATTGAAAAACATTATCTATAGAAATCCTGCTTTATGAATTGACATAAACGAAATACCACATTTGATGCAGTGCCACTGCTTCTCTTAGTGGAAAAATCATTCCTGGACGTAGTTACATAACATGGCTCATTAAACAAAATCCGACTGGGTGAAAGGCAGGCTGTACACACTATTGTTTTCTCTCCAAAAGGGGCTCACTCCAGATGACTTCGGTAAAGAAATTATGCAAACAAGAAAAGAGAGGAATACTTGCCATGGTTATCTTTCTTAGGAATGATGTGATTACCAAATCACCTACAGGTCCCCATAATGGTGTCAGTGAGCTAAGAGCACCTGTGCCGCTACACCGCAAGAACACACGCACTGACCGGAGCCAGACCACAGGGCACCCACCTGCTCCACCTCTCCAAGTGTGACCGGCTGCGTCTGGTAGCGGGCGTTCATTCTCCTCTGTCTTACGTCTATTCTGTTTCGGGTAGAAATAGCTTTTGAGACCGGCTGGGACAATTTGTTAAACAAGGCCAACTTCTCTGCTAAGCTCAGAGTAGAGGAATCAGGTTCTCCTGGTTCGGCGGAATCTCTGACCTCATTTGTCTGGTCTCTGGCTAAAGCCTTTTGGTGAGCAGATGCCTGTAATCTGAAAGGAATAAAACATCAGTAACATGAGGAAAACAAACAAATTTGACATGTTAACTTTCTTCAAAGTGTCAGTTTTGCAAAGGGCTTATTTTTCCCTACACAGACTTAGGACAGGGGCAGACAGTTTAGTGATTAAACAGGACTGTGACTAGTGGAGCAGGCATGGGACACTGACATCAGTTCTACAGAAAGCAGATTTTTAGCTCTGAATTATTCCTAAAAGCTGAATTTCCTGTTTGGGGAACCGATGTCCGCTTGGACATGCCTTGTCTTACACAGAGAGGTCACCTTGTTGGTGTCACAATATTATATATAAGGCTGAAAGTAGTGGTGAGGCATATTAGACACCATCTAAAGATGTGGTTCAGAAGGTGGTCTTTCCATTTTAAATAATTGGGAAACAAAGTATTCACCTGCCGATAACAATTTACAACATAGTGTTTTGGTTTTCACTCGCTCAACACAAACGGTTTAATTTTAAGGATTCTTTCACTCTTTCTGTGTAGCATTTTCTCTCCCAGGTTTCCACCAGTTTTCTGAAAGGCACTAAAACCTGTAGTTCCCAGTAAGCAGGAAAATGAAGACAATTTCAGGCAATTATAAAGCCCTCCAACTTCCAGCTAGAAGAGAAAGAGGGAGGGCTTCCAGTCTGTGCGGTCCCTGTGAATCTTGAAAGGGTTTTAGGGCTACTTTCTGCCACTGGCAAATCCAATTCTCAGATCTAGCAAGAAGTGTAATCTGCCTTGACCCCAATTAATCCCCCGTTCACAAGCTGTCCCAGGCACGTGAGGCGCTTTGCCGCCAGCAAAGTCACCTGAGCCCCCGAGTCCTCCCTGCTCGGTGCAGCACCGGAGTGCACGGAAACCCACTCCCAGAGGGCTCCCTGGCTCCAGGCTGTGCCGGCCTCAGTCCTGCACTGCCATCCCGTACAGCCTGGTATTTGGCCCACCACAGTAAAATAAAGGGGATACTTACATGGTTTAAGGACATAATTGTAAACCACCACAATTTAAAACTTAACACTTAAACATCTACATTCAGGTGCTATCAGTTGTTATTTTCCCAGCCCCAAAATAGACCAGTATTGTCTCCCTATGAATTAGAAACAGGGAGGATTGTTTTCTTAACATGTATTTGTGTCTATATGTGTTTTAAAAAACTGGGTCTTATCAGGATTTCAACATTCCTGTGAACGCCCCATTTTTCTATTCATCTCTGTGAAATACCAGTGTTTTAGACGAAGAATGAAATTTTTTTAGGGATGACCATTATTATGAAAAACACACAAACAAATGGGTAAGTGAGTTAGTGTGATACTAGCTCCGACACACGGCGTAAGCAGAGAGACGAAAGGCTTTCCCACGCAGGCTTACAGGAAGTTATCAGTATCTTGCACTCTGACAAAACAAAACGTCACACATTCCAGGAGCGACTCACTGCACTGACTCGCTTTCAAACAAGCGAAAGGCATTCAAGACTCTCAGACGCATCTGCTGTCCGGCACCTCGGCCCGGGTGCCGCACGCAGCAGCTCTGTCCGGTACCTGGCAGGCGGCACAGTGCTCCTAGCTACAGTGGGGCTGGGACGTCTCGCCGTGACAGGGTGGGCGCCCCCAGAGCACGAGGCAGGGAGAGGCTCACTTTAAAAGCAATTGCCAAAGAAGAAACATTCATAAGGAGAGAGAAGAAAAGAAGCATTAAGGAACGGCATAGTTTTCAATTCAGGAACGTTAAATCAAAAATTTTAACAAAATTATGTGCTAATTACTTTGGGGTAAAAAATCACAAAAGAACTTGAAAAGCAAGTACAAACTCAGGAAATAAGAGATAGAGGCCACCAAAGCAGACGGAGAAAGAGTAAGTGCTGAGCTTGGAGGGAAGCTACTCTGTCTTTGGAATGCATGTCCTGGTTAAAAACATAACTAAAAGCAGCTCATACTAGCCATCCACAAATCAGTAGAGGACGTCCGTGTTTCAGAATCTTGTTCTCAACCTGATCTTTCAAGGAGTCGGGTCCTTGTGCGTCCTGTGAAACGCACGTTGGGCAGCCTCGCTGGGCCTTCACCGGAGGCCCCTTTCCTTATGGCTCCTGCTTTGCTCCTGGGAGCTGCTGCTTAGTTTATACCAGCCATCCAAACATACATATTTTTAAAAACAAACCGGTTTTCTGAGAGCTCCTAATGAGTGCAAGAATGTGCTTATCCAGCTGCACCGGCAGCAGGCCCACGCGCGGGCTCTGACACGCGGCCTCGGGAAGCCAGGGCCCCACTCGAGAGGAGCGTCCTTTTTGTTTTAAGAGGAAGTGTGTGTGTCCAAGTCAGGCACAAAACAATTTTTACAAAACTAATAAAAATGTTTACTTGATTGAATTAAGTGTCTCCGAGTGAACGTCCCTGGGAAATGGATTCGGGATCACTGGAACATGTCATTGGAGCCTGACTCCCTGCAGTTGGGAACCCTATCAGACAGCCAATCAACTTTTAAAAAATGTTGGTGATTATTTAAAAACAAACGAGCCCTTGTCTTTCAGAGACACACTCTGAAACACCGATGGATGGAGCGGCGGGATGTCGGGAGCTTGCTGGAAGCGGGCGGGCGCGGGCGTGAGGGCGGGTGGGCGCGCCAGGCAGGGGGCGCTGTGGGAGCCGGGCTCGCCGTGTGCATCCAGCGACTTCCATCTTTTACATTTTCCGTCGTAAAAGAGAGTCGGAGAATCCAAAATGCACAGACGAGAACGACTGAGACACAGCCTTGGCACGCTTCCCTGGGAGACGGGCCGGGCGCCAGCCCCGCAAAGCTGAGGCAGGCCGGGCGGGCTCAGCCCGAACACCAGCCTCTGCGGCTTCTTTACTGAGCACTCTTTAATGTGTTTTAGGAAGACATTACAGCCAAGGCCAAGAAGCCCTGACGGGGACTCACGTGGCCGCGATGGCCACCTCCTCGGTGGTGACGGGCTGGGTGAGGGACCTGTCCTGCAGCCGGCGCAGCCTCTGGTCCACGGCCGCACTCCTCGAGCGTCGCTTTGGAGCACTTTGTTCGTCAAACGACTTTTCCATTTCCTAGGGTTAGAGACATTGCAGATCCTCACAAATTCAAGGGAGGGGTCAGGGAAGCGGGGTGTCTGCCCTGTTCTCCCACAACACCTAATGAGGGGCTCCGGCGGCAGTGGGTACCGTCGTCGCAGCGTGCACTCAGGCTGTGCCAGCGGTGGCCGGAACCCGTCACAGACGGGGAGACAACAGGTGGGCGGGCGAGGAGGGCGGTGGGGTGCCCAGAGGCGCCCGGAGTAGGCGGGAGCCAGGGAGTCTCCCTCTGAGAGGGTTATAATTTCTTTTCCTTTCCTTCCTTTTCCCTCCCCCCCTCCCCTCCCCCCCTTTCTCTCTTTCATTCATTCATTCTTTAGTTTTTGATACGGGGTCTCACTCTGTCGCCCAGGCTGCTCTCAAACTCCTGGCCTCCAGCGGTCCCCCGCCTGCCGTGCTGAGCAGCCAGACTCCAGGAGCGGGCCGCCATGCGGGGCGGCCGCCACTCTGCCCGTGCCGCGGCACCCCTTACCCTGAAAAGCAGCCTCTTGGCAGCGACACTCAGCTTGGCTCGCTCATCCACCTTCTCTTCGTCTGTGAAGAGCCACACACAGAAATGACATAATCAGCAAACGTAAGTCAAATCTCCGAAAGCTTTCCAAGCCTGACCTGGCGATCCTGTGACTGCAAGCACAGATGTCCTCTTGACACAACAACAGCAGCCGGCCACACTCTCCCTTCGTGGGCCCGTTCTTTCTGCTCAGTGGAAAGGTACTGACTTCCATTGCAATTCAAGTCAAACTGCCTGCACGGCGAGTTCTACTATAATTATTCCTCTTATTCAGATTGAAGAATAGATTTTGTGGAGGGAATTTCTCTTATTTTTAAATAGCAATGGCAACAAGAGAAACCTGCTTCTTGGGTTCAATTCAGTTGTTTTGATATTGTTCATGCCATGATTCTCTAACTCTTCTCAAAATCTGGGGAAAGGTCATTTGAAAAGTTCAACTAGGTTTTATTATATTCGCAAAAATAAAACCTTCAGAAAAGGAAGAAATTGATAAACTCCATCACGTTATTCTCTCAAAAAGCCAAAACCATTCTTATTTAGATCTAATCTAGATGAGATGACAAAGAAGAAGGAAAAAGAAAAACAGATACTTGCCGTCCATAGCTGGCGTTTCTGAATGTGAAGCACACCTAGGAGAGACATGCAAATATAATGAAAATTAGCCGGTGGGAGTGGAAGATCCACATAAAACATCGTAGTCAAAGTAAGAATAAAAATGCATGGAGCTCTCCTAAGGAACATCGTCCTGCAGAAACTCTAGTTGTGAACACACACGCATGCCGGCCAGGTGCCGCGGAGTGTGTGTGCACGCAGTCCCAGCCACGGGCACACCTTGCGGAGAAAAACCAGGACCAAGGACCACTTATCAAACGTGGCTGGTGATAAATTTGCAGACAAATCTTACCATTATCATGCAGCAGCATGACAATTAAATATAAAACTCCAGTACAACAAGTGGGAAGACATTTATGAAATGACTACGAAACTCCTTAGTTATTTTTACTGTAAAATCTCATGGATACCTAATTTGGATTCTAATTTAACATGAATGTAAAGAAATTGAAAACATTAAATGAAGAAGAACAGTGTTTCTTACCACCTGATTGCAATTTAAAGTCATGCATGTACTGTGACACCGTTGTAAAGGCCGATATTCTTTAAAAAATACATTTAAATAAGACAAATATCCCCTATAGACTAGATGGAAGAATATGGAATCAACACTGTCCTATGTAAACAAAATCAGGACCACCAATGTGGTAAAAATCACACAGATCCTGCATTACTTCTACATTCCTAGATGAGGAAACTACACAGACACACGCCTACCTATCCGATTCCTTTCGTTCTGCTGAGGTTATAGGTTGAGTTCTAAATCTCTCAGAAGTTTTTCTACTTTCACCAGGAGAGAAATAGCGCCGTGGTTTCCGGGACCCTCTCTCCCGTTCCACACCGCCAGCTCCGCCAGGTGACCTCTCCGCCCACGATTGGCTTTTGGATCACAGGGCAGGGAGGGTGTGGAAGGGAAACGGAAGACAGAGAAAGGGAACAAAAGCAACGGTTTACGCATGTCCACAGGTGAAGGCACAGACACCGCTAAGCCCTCTGCACGCCTCTACCATGCACACACGGAGGCGCAACATCCCAGCAACCCGATCCGCAAGTCCCCGTTAGTAGGCAGAAGCAGAGGGTAGTGTTTGAGCCATTTCCTGTCGAGTTGCCCTGCACACGCTTGTGAGCTAAGCCAATATGATTCAACGCAGGACACGACACAAGTGGAGAAGTGAATAACTCTGCCAGGGACGTGCAAGTGACACATCAGGAGGATGTCCGAAACATCACCTACAGCTCGGGTCTCTTGCAGGCGTTGGCAGACTCCAGAAACATACTTCGGAGCTGGGCGACAGAGACCTTTGTGTCCGGCACGCCGACCTCCCCAGACAGCCCCTCGGCCTTGGAGCTCCGCGGCGCCAGCTCTGGCGTGGGGGCCGGGACCTTGCACTCCGAAGCCTGGAGCTGAGGGGGCCTCGTGTAGTCAGACAGTGAGCGGGTGAGGACCTTGTGCTTCTTTCTGTGGCCGGTGGTCAGTGTGGCATCCTGGGACACGGGCTCATTCTGAACACACAGCACCATCTCGCTCCTGCCCATCCTCTGCGCGGGCTGCGGCTGAGCCTGAGCCAGGTGCGACACGCTTTCTCCTTCTTTTTGACGTTCTAGGGTGACCGTGCTAACAGTTGGCTGACCGAAGTCCTCCTTTCCAGAAGGCTCTTCGTGGCTTCTTAAAAACCCATCATCCTCCAAGGCCGAAAGGGCTCTCCTGCTTTTCTCAGGGGCTCCAGCAAAGAGCACGCCCGCCTCTGCTCTGGGCTCACGGACACGGACAGCCGGCGCGTCCCTGCTCTCGCCTTCTGCCACCTTCAAGGCGGGAGGTTCTGGGACGGTCTGGAGGGCTGATCCCGACCAGCTGCACTCGGGTATGTTTTCTGGGGTCTCCGTGGTCACCAGCCTGGCGGTGTGACCAGGGCGGCTCGGCTGTCGTGCAGAGCTGGCCGCCTTGCTGGGGACCCGATCGAAGGCCGAGTGCTCCGACTGGAAGGACAGGCAGGGCACCGGCGCTGGCGGATGTCTCCTCTGAGTTAAGGACTCTGAGGCAAGTTCAGGGCTGCCATGAGCACTCTCCTCTTTCACCAATTTTTCTCTAACTTTAACTCTTTAAGAAAGAAAAAGGATTTAAGTCGCGAAGTGCAGTGACTGCTTAACAGGAAGAAAGCATGCATGGGTCAGAGACTCTCAAGAATGGAAACCAACTCAACGAGAGAACAACTTGCGAAAAAGCATTTTGGTGTCTAATGTCAGAAACCCGCTACTTGCCAGAGGAATCATTTTGAGCTGAGTTTGCAGACTCACATATGTATGCCCGTGTGGGGCAAAACTAACTCTGTCCCTGGAAAGCTGAGAGAGTCAGATGCTATCCTGGGGGAGAGTGGGTCCCTTCCGACCAAATAAATGCCCAGAAGCTCAGAAAAATTCATTAGTATGCACCAGCAGCATGCACAATGAGGCTGGCGCCTTGAATAACAAGCTTTTTGCATGTAGAGGCCCGGTACAGGGACGTGGGGGAGTTCGCAGGGAGACATACACCTATTGACCAAACGTTGCAATGTCACTGTCTCCTGGAAATGTAAGAGCGTTCATGATTATTGACGCTTTCTCCTGGGCTCAAGACACAACAAACAACCATGCCTCTTTTGAAGCACCCAACTAAGCATTCACAAGCTTTTGCATGCAATGCAAACTGCATTCATTCGTTCATAAGACACATGGTGGTTTGCACATCATCACTAACAAGTGTGGCACCAAAAGAATGTTAGAGAAAATGTTAGAGAAAAGATATTTGTTGAAAGAATTAATGAAGTGAACATTTTTCCCCCTCTGGAATTGCTGTTATGTCTTTAGTTGAGAACTCATCTAATGAGAGATTGCTCTAGCTGTTTCCAGTGTTATTTAAATATCTGAGAACAAAACTGAAATTCTTTACAAAAGCTGCAGAAACAAAATATCCAAAGGCTCTCGCTGTGGGTTCCCTGTTCAAATCCTGGTTCAGCCAGCTTTAGCTGCCCTTCTTAAGCCTCAGTTGCTTTGCCTTTTAAATGGACATAAAAGTGACATGACGTCATGTGATGTTTGCAGAGCACGTGGCTTAGTGCTTAGCAAAGAGTCAACACTAAATAGGGTTAGCCAGTTCTGGTCTTTACTTTTTGAAATGCCACATAGTGAGAAGGGAGAAACCATTTGAACTGTTTGAGGACCGATTACCGGTATAGAGGGAAATTTTAAAAAGTAAAGAGTGCTTTGGGAGCAGAAAAAGTGATTTCCTAGAGACATGTAGGGCTCTTATTTACTTAAGATTAGTCATCAAAATTAATTATTTATGAAATATACTTTATGAGAAAAAAGCAGTTTCTTTAATGACAAGGATGCCCTGCCAAATTTGATATAAACTCCTACATGCTTTTAAACATAAGAGGCAGGGTGTCTATGTGTACTTCATTAAAGAACAATCAAAGACACACATAAAAGGGGTGGCGATGAACAGTGCAGGGACAGAAGGCATTCTGCATTGCTGTTTTTCCCAGAGACTAGCCACTGGTGGAGGCTTTCGCGTGTATAACCTTTGTTAATCAAAAGAAGACTGAAATGCGGTTCAAGTTCCCCTGCGGAATGTGTGCTTCTAGTCAGAGACAATCTGTGAGCTGTCCTCGTGGAGAACAAAGTGGCGTTGGAGACTCGCTGTATGGGCGCCTTGTCCTCCTCGGGCCCGCGCATTCTTGCTGCGTCTGCCTCTCCCTGCCCCCAGTATTAAAGATGAGATGATAGGGGGCTTTGTCTGCGCTTAAAACCACATGCCCTAAATTTAACTGTTGCACATTAACTACTGGCTTGGAGATGAGGAAACTTGAAAAGGAGGAGGCTGGAAGGAGGGAAGTGGCCAGACGGGATGCTGGCTGGTCTGGCCCAAGAGCAGAGCGGCTCAGAGAGCTGATGAGGTGCTCACTATTGCCCCCAACTGGCCGATCCTATGTGAGCGGGGAAAGGGGAAAAACAGCAGGCATAGCGAAGGGACTGCCAGTCAGAGTGAGAGAGAGACACAGGAGGAAAGAGAAAGACTATTAGTACAGATCAGGGCGTGTGGAGGAGAAATGCAAGTGATTAGAAAGTAACTTGCAGCAGTCCCTTTTGGAACACGTGATTTTCAAATGCACCGTCGTTACAAAGAAAGCAGAAGGAGAGACTGTTAGCTCGTGTGTGGGACAGCAAGACAGGCCAGAGAGAAGGGGCAGCATTCACTGAACATGAGCCACAGAGTGTCAGCTCGGGGTACCTGGAAGGCCAGTTGATAAGAGAAGGTGTGTCCCCTTCGGAATCTTTCTGGAGAAACCACTCGTGTTTGGGTTTCCCCATAATACTGTGTACAAAAAGCAAAACTTCAGATAATCTCTATCAAAATGTCAACATACACACCAACTTTATTATAGCTTAAAGCCTAAAGGTTGATTTTTTATTAAGGATAATCCTGGTTTTTGAAACAATATAAGCACATTTGCCGACAGGGTTATATTCATTCCCTTCATGGAACCTCCCGGGCACTTGGCTCACTGCTAAAATCAAGACACAGAAACAAATATATCTAAGGCCACCCAATAACCTGTTTTTCCAAGTGATTTTAAATTATTAGAAAGCAGTCTGTGATAGTCATACTTCACCGACAAATACCAGACAATTCTCTCGTAAGAAGCTGGACTGAAAATATAAGGCAACTTAATTTCCATAAGTGTTGTTGTGGTATATTGGTAAATAGCCAAATATAAAAAGAGAATCCATGCAAAACAACACATATCAAGTAAAGAAATAGAAAAGAAATTCAGTGAGATCAATGAGATCATATCTTTAGTTGCTATTATACATTTCCCTTTTATATTTATCACTGACAATGCAACAGCACAACACTTACAAGTCCAGGAATCCAGGACCTGGAATCCAGGTCCGTTTGGCAGATGGCTTGTTGAGCACCTACCGTGTGCAAAGAAATGAGCTAAGCTTGAAGAAACGAAAAAGGTAAATCAGAAATCAGTCCAGCCATTAACAACCTTACACCGTGGCAGGCATGATAATATATATTCACACATTCATTTCTCAGCACACAATTGAACATAATGCAAAGTATAACGTGACGAAGTAATTATGTCAGGCTGAAGATACTTTAGAGAAAAATCATAGGCAAGGACAACCTTGTGGTAACAATGTAAAGCAAGTCCCAGGAAGGATACTAAAATGACTGACCTGCTTCCCCCTCTAATGTAGAAAGAAAAACAAATAGAAATTCTAAAGGCTAGTTAGAATATCGACCAGTTCAAAGTCTTATTAAACTATCTGCAAGAGCTCTTCACTCAACACCAGGCTGGAAACACATTTTAGCTCAAAGCAGTTTCCAAAAAAGAATGAGAATACTAGTTAAATTAACTTAATTTTCTAAAAAACATTTTAATTCAAAAGTTTTGGTTTCAAGGGACAGGCAATAACCTCCCATCACTACTGTGCATCTTGCTGCAACCACTGAAATCTGTCTCATTCTAGGCTTGGATTGATCTGTTTTTCTCCAGTAAAACTTCCCCAATCTGTCTACACCCAGAACTATCACCCACTTCCCAATACCCAACCTTACAGCAATTTTGCCCACAGCAAATAAAAAATGAAGATGTATTTCAAGTCACTCTTTTCCCCAACCATAAGAGGTCCAATTTCTCAACTTTTATTTGAACACGGGACAAGCTTAGCATATCATCTGCGCTCCGTGCAGCACGCAGCGGGGAGGAGGCCAGAACAGACACCTGCGTTGGGAAACAGCATTAAGTTAATATAACAATATGCCTGCCCCACACAGTTATTTTAAAGGCCCAGATAATTTTTGTATAAATAGAGTGCCTTGTGGACTATAAAGACAGTGAAGTGCTACACAACTTTTTGAACATGACCTTCACCGATGAGAATAAAACTTGGTCAGCATCACCGCAAACAGTCACAAGGTGCTTTACGAATGTTAGGTCAGCATGTGTAAAATGGAAAACCTCCGCGGGCACGGCGCTTGCCGGGCTCCCTTATTCACTACAACTGAGACATGGAACTAGCCAAAGCTAAACAATCTATCAGGGTGGTGGATGCTCAAAGTTTGACATTTCATTTGCTGAGCGTCCCTGACTTAACAAGGGCTCGATTTGTGACCTTTCGACTTAACGGTGACAGGCATTCAGTAGAAACCATACCTCAAATTGTGCATTTTGCTCTTGTCCTTGGCTGTCGACATTCAATATGATATTCTCATGATGCTGGGCAGAGGTGGGGAGCAGCGGCTCCCAGTCAGCTACGCGATCATGAGAGCAAACAGCCAATGCTCTGGAACGTGCTGTGTTGCCAGGCGATTGTGCACAGCCATGGGCGGAAGTGACAGCTCCAAGCACCTTTAAGGCCAGCGAGGCTGAGCGATGGCGCCTAACAGCTCAGGAGTATTCGGTGTATTTTCGACTTACAATCTCTTCTTTCTTTGACTTAGGATACTTTCAGTTTACAATAGGTTTATCAACATGTAACCCCATTGTTAGTCAAGGAGTGTGTAATAAATATAAATATCTGTATCATGAAATAAACAAACGTATGTGAAGTCATCATGCCTTCAACATGGTAAGCCTTTCAAAATGCAAACTCCTTCCTCCTGCACAGTCAACAGTGCTGAAAGTTTGTGTCTCTGTTTTTATGTCTTAAAGACATGACACATACAGAGCTCCAAATCGGAAGTCACGTGATTTTAAGGAGGGTAAGTTCAGCCCCACCAGGAGTGTCTGAGTTTGTCTTAGATAATTCAAATGATTATCTTGAATTATTGAGTGACTTAGAACAGTATGTCCCCCTGTCAGGCTTTCATGATCCTTGAAGTTGGCTAAGGCATGTGTTTGGGTGAGGTTTTCTGCCATCAAAAACAGAACAGAGAGGGGCTGAGGAGAGACCTACATTTAATTAGACATGACTGTGCGCGAGGCTGTCCCAGATATTGAATGCCCAAGATCAGACAGCCCGTACTACAAGACTCCATGTCTATGACGCCGAGGCCCCCAGAGCTCCAGGTGTCCTCGTGCGGGAAGAATACCGCCTCCTTGTTGGAGCTGATCTCAGCGCGGAATGCCTAAATGCTGCAACCGTGGCCCAGAAGAACAGTATGTGCAGATAGAACTGTTAGAAACCACTGGAATCTGAGGACAGTGCTACACTAGGCTGTCCTAAGTGGACCATGGTGAACCACATTTCTGCCTCCTTGCTGGACTTGAATTTCCACATCTCCTGATTCAAACACCACTCTTAGGAAGAAGGTGAGCTGGGGGCGTGATGGCAGTAGTGCAGAGACCAGCCTAGAACCTGCTTTTCAGGACTAGGGGTTGAGTCCACAGGCTTCCAGAGCGGCCGGTGGGTTCCTGCTCACCTATCACAGTGCCCACTGACAGTTCAATAATATCTCTAAAACACTGACTGGAGACCGCAGACGAGAATCCCTGCTCAAAGCAGAAAGAGCCTGTCACAGAAAGCAGGCTCTCAGAGCCCGTCCTGCCGGCCAGTGTTGCTGGCCCTGGTTAGATGAGAGGCTTGCACCGGACGGGAACTGACAACGTCACTGAGCCTGCCTCTGGTTCAGGTCATGTTTTCTCCACTCGCAGCCGACTTTCTCGTGAAGGAAATGAGCCACGGCTGACACGCGGGTGCAAGTCTCCACCTCCCACAGGGCGCAGCTGACAACAGTTTGCAGGCTGGCTATCAAACAGCACTGCTAGAGTCTGGTGGCACTTGAAGAAACACAGAAAACAGTAGAACATTCATCCAAAAATGATTTTCTGGGTCACTTGAAAATCCAGTGGATTCTGCCACTAGCTGGGGAGGAGATAGGAAAATGACCAAGACAAGGTTTCCCTTTCCCTTTGGGCTTCTATGGAAGGAATGCTCTCGCTGCAGCCATCCCCACTGGTCTTACAGACTGGCATATACCAAATCCTCCGTCCCAAGTCTGAGGGAATCCCAATAAAATTGCTAAAATCCTCTTCTGGGTATGGCAGCCTTGTCCTACAGTGTTGGGCCTTTGGATATACTTCCTTCTGAGAAATGGGGTGCAGGTGAAGCTGCCTCTGGGGGACACTCCTTTTGGTTCGTGATCTTTTTCTCCTTTGTGACCTTCCAGCAGAATCATCACCAACCAGAGCCAGGCTGATAGCATCGGGGCTCCCTCCGCCAAGCCGAGCTTCAGTGTCTAACGTCTCTGGGAAAATGACAAGCTGATAAGGAGAAGAACAGACTGGTCTGACAGTCTGAACGCCAGAGAACGTGCATGAGCCTCCAAAACTGATTCCAGTTTCTATTAAGACCTGGAAAGGTCAGGAAGGCAGGGAAGATGGGAAGGTGGCCCCCTCTGGCCTGCTCTCCTTTGCCAGCTGTCCTGTTAGAGAGAGATGCCCAGTTGTGATCTGACTGCCGCAGGACACAGGGAGACTGATGCCTACCTGCGCGGTTGGCAGCTCACTCTCACTCACTTCCCCCGAGGTTGGTCTAACCACTTTGGCAGTCATGTAAAGAACTTGCTGTCAACTAAAACTCCGAGGTCTGTTTCCCATGAACTCTTGTCAAATCAGGTTTCCCCAATCTGAACTTGCGCACTGATTTTCTGCCCTCTAAATACAGGAATTTATTAAATTTCATCTTGTTGGTTTCCAGCCACTGTTCCAGGAACATGTGCTCTCTTGCCTGCACGCTCCTCTTCCTCCTTCCCAACTCTCTTCCCTCCATCCCGCCCTGCCCTCTCTCTTTTGCTCATCATACTTATTTTTGATCCTTCCTCCAGAAATGTGACCATGCTGTCATCACTATCTTCCAGATTATCTAATGAGATGCCACTTAGGACCAGGTCTGTGACAAAGCCCACCCTGGAACCAGAGGCCTGGCCACCTCAGGCCTGGGTAGCTGCAACCAGCTCTTTGTTGTCGTCCCTGTGGGTCATTGGTTATCCTTCAGACTAACACTCCACAGTCCTGCAGAGCCATTCTTCTACAGAGCATAATCAACCGTCCTTGCTTTAAAATCCTCCAGGCACTTCCCCTGTCCACACGGCAGAGGCCAAGCGCCTGGCTGAGTCACCTAAGGTACCCCATGGCCCCACTGGCTCTCCACTCCCTCCCACCCTGCTCCTTCCAGGTCCACATTGGATGCCTGCCCATTCTTGCCTGGAGCAGCCTCCCCTCCACGCCTAGCAAACCCACTTCCTCCCTAAGGACTTGGTCCAACTATGACCACTTCTCTGTATTGATCAAGACGGAAGATCGATGCCCTGTGCTCAGTACTCCACGCACCCAACCTTGGCCTCAAGAACCAAAATCA